CTTACAAATTAAGCCATTATCCCTCTTGTTACACCACGTGAATCTCGGACCTTGATAAGACATGTCAAGCAAAGAGCAGTACTTGACAGTGTCTTGGAAATCCCTCATACCCACTGTATCCTGAAACATATCCAAACCAGAGTGCTCAATACCCGAGAGAATTTCATTAAAATCTCCTTGAATAAGCCAAGGAGCTTTCTTTATGATGGGAGAGTCATAGTGAGCTTTAATATCACCCCAAACCTCCTTCCTATCCTCCGCCAAATTATAAGCATACACAAAAGAAACAAATATCTCGTCAACTAAACCCTCCAACAGCATGGAGCAAGTAAAACAAATATTTTTGATTAAGATCCTTAACTATTTAAAAAAAAAAAAAAAAAAAAAAAAAAAATAAAAAAAAACACTAACATTTTTTTTATAGTGTAAGGCTATGCAGTCATCATCATTTGAAATCCCTCAAGTGAGAACAAAATTTGGTGGAAAATATATTTTCTTCTTCCTTGGTCACCTGAACAAACCACATGGATCATCACATCTCCAACACTAATCGACAAACTAAAAACACCCTAATTCAGTAAGCTAAATCTGAGTAGGCACAATGATAGACCCCATCTTTAGATTAATAACTTGCAAGAAAGTGCAAATATATTTTCGATCCTAAGATTTTGGAAGTTGAAGACAACTTTTTAAAAATTTCAGCGAAATTTTTTTAAAACTAATTTAAGGATTAAAAAGAAAATTTTGGAAACTTATATACATAAAAAAAAATTTCAAAATTTTCGAAGGTCTGAGACGAATGTTTTAACAGACTTCGTCCAGAACCAGTCCTGTCTACAAAATGTTCATCTCATAATCACATTCTGACGTGTGATGTTTCAATAAAATTCACAACAAACTCATTTCTTCGTCTAGATGATCATATATTGTCATCTCAACATTCAATTGTATAAAAGATTTGTAAATAGTAGACATAAAATATACACATATGAAATTGGATAAGATATAATAATATATAAATGAAGATATGATAATTTATTTATATATATTACACCAAAAAAATATTTATTATCAATTAATTTTATTTTCTAAAATACTAAGCCTAATGTATATGGACATTAGGGCTGAGATTTTTATCTGGGATGCGGATTCGATTTGAGATCCACTCTGGATCCGCTCCGAAATTATGATATCTAGGGATGTCTGGATCCAAATCCGAATAGTAATATCTCGGATCCGTGCAAATCGAATCCGGATCCGGATATCTTAATTATTAGGTCTGGATATCCGGATTCGGATCTGTATTTTAAAAAATATATTAAATTTTTATCTTACTATTAATTGTATCTGATATATTAATATTTATACATAAAATAAGTTTAATAACATTCTACTTTTATATTAATAATATTATATATCATATATATTCATAAATTATGCTTAAATATTTAGTTTATATCTTATTTTTAGAATTTTTTATTTTTTTAATTTTTTAATTATTTTTACGGATCCAAATCTGAATCCGGATACCTGCGGATATCACAATATCTAGACAAATATTCGGATCCGGATATTTCAAATTTTTCAGATACAAGTAGTGAAAGACCCAATAAGATTTTCACAAGCGGTATATTTATTTTATTTAAATTTCCGTAATTGTTTTATTTTATTTTATTTTTTTGCTTAAATTTCCGTTTTTTTGTTTTGTAGGGGTCATCTAAATATCGTGTGATTTCTGAGACTTGAGTAATCTCAGCAAAGCAGAGAAGAACAAAGAAACACAGAGATCATTCATCAATCATCATCCATGGCTACGCTCTTCACCACCACTCGTCCTTCACTCCTCTTCGTTCCCTCCGTACACAGCACCTTCCCTCCTTCCACCTCCCTTAAACCCAACTCCCTCTCCTTCTCATCACCCCACCACCGTCCCAAACCTCTCCGGTTCTCCAAAACCCGATCTTCTCCTTCTCCTCAGCCCTTTGAATCAGACTCCGAACCGGAAGGTGGTTATTCAGTTACAGAAGAATGGGGCGAGAACCCGGTCGAACCGTTATCTCAGCTTGCGTCTTCGATTTCAGACGAATGGGGGGAGAAATCCGAATCCGTAGCCGTGGAGTCAGTGACCACCCGGTTCGCGGAATCGGATCCTCCGAGGGACGAGGACGAGTGGGAGGAGAGAGAGGTTGTTGGTGGTGGTGGTGATGGAGTGGACAAGACTTGGGAGCTGAAGAGGTGTTTGGCTGATACTGTTTACGGAACTGAATTAGGGTTCCGAGCTGGATCTGAAGTTCGTGCTGAGGTTTTGGAGATTGTGAATCAGTTGGAAGCTATGAATCCTACTCCTGCTCCCGTTGAGAATCCGGAGCTCCTCGATGGCAATTGGGTTTTGCTGTAAGTTCATTTTATTTTGATCTAGTTTAAAAAATTGTTAGGCGGTAACTAGGCAATTTGTACAGATTATTTTGAAGATAAGTGATAATTAACTTACATCAATTGGGTTTTGTTGTAAGTTAATTGAATGTTCATTTTATTTTGATCTAGTTCAAAAAAGTGTTAGAGCATCTCTAACCCTATTCCATAATTTACTGAAAAATAGAGTGGAAAATCAAGAGACGAAAAAACAAAAAAACTATTACTCCATTTATAAATTAATCACTTTTTTGTTTCTTCATCACTCCATTTTGCAGTAAATTATGGAGTGCGGTTGGAGATGTTTTTAGACGTTAACTAGGTACTCTGTACTGGCTAGGCGGATTATTTGATGTAGTAGAAAAAACTAGTGTTCAAGAAATTGCTGGGCGGTCGGGATCTATTGGTTTTTAGACTGTGTCTGATAATTGCAGTATCAATTAAATGAGACATTGTTGTTGAATATTTGAGTGAAGCTAAGTGATGATTAATGTTGGTTTATATATATATCTTTGGGGGTTATGAAACAGGTACACTGCCTTCTCTGAGTTGCTTCCTCTTCTAGCTGCGGGTTCAACACCTTTGTTGAAAGTGAAGAGTATAAGTCAGTCTATAGACACAAATAATCTCTCTATAGACAACTCCACTACTCTCTCCAGCCCTTTTGCAGATTTCTCATTCAGTGCTACTGCTTCTTTTGAAGTTCGTAGCCCTTCCAGAATTGAGGTAACCTGCAAATATTAGGTTTCTTTTCATTCGTCTATGTCAAAAAGGGTTTCTCATAATGTTTGGTGAATATTAGGTTTCTTTCAAGGAGGGTACGTTGAAGCCTCCAGAGATCAAGTCAAGTGTGGATCTACCAGAGAGCGTGGGTGTGTTTGGGCAGGAGATTAACCTCTCGTTCCTGAAGCAATCTTTGAACCCTTTACAAGATGTGGCAGCAAACATTTCACGGGCAATCTCTGGTCAGCCACCTCTCAAGCTTCCGTTTCCAGGAAACCGGGGCAGCTCTTGGCTCTTGACCACTTATCTCGATAAGGATCTCAGGATTTCGAGAGGAGACGGTGGGCTTTTCGTGCTTGCTAGAGAAGGAAGCTCTCTGCTTGAGCTCTGAAATATTTGACAAAGGTATATATATACCAAGCAGGCTTCTTGTAAAAACAATACTCACTACACTAGAGGTGTCTTCATAATAATAATGCTGAATGCAAATTATTGGACCAGATTGTTTCCTTTAAAATTGTATTCTTGTACTCATTTGTTTGTCACAAAGCTAGTAACAAAACTAGTAAAGAGGAAGCTCTAGCAGAGTTGAAGGAATGATATGAAACAACGAACATAGAGAATGATCGTAACACTGGTTGAAAACCGTAGTACACAAGTTATGTATTCTCCAAGAGATTAGACCATTAACTTATTAAGAGACTATATAAAGAAAAGTTCTCTTTTATTGCTCTTGGTATTCGTTAGCTACTTGTAATGTTCAGACAAGCTTTGGTGAATAGTGGCGACATCATCTCTGCCCCATCCACTCTAAAATATCCTTCCTGATAACACCATCAAACCCACCTCTAGCATAGATCGGTTTCACAAGACTGGAATCACTGAAAGGCCTGTACTGAGTGGTACTTCCAGTGAATCTTGGCGGCTTGATCTTCATCATCATCGAGATAGTCGGTGAAAACTTGGGCCGGAGGTTCCTCAAGGACATGAACAAGTGCCTACCAACTTCATTACTCTGAGGAGTCTTCGTGTTTGTTGCATGCGGTTTGAGACGTGTTGAATCTAATAATCTCTTCCCCTTGCCCACGCTTGGCTCTATCTGTTTTGGACGCAGAACCTGAGCTGATGGCTTCATACGGTCGAGTCCTCTAAGAATCCAGTTTCCAAGGTTCCGACCAATGTCCATGTCTCTCTGTTGTATGTTCTTGTGGACCCTAAGTGCTACATCAAATATCTGATGAGTCCTCCTGCATTAAAAGTAGTAGACAGAAGAGAAGCAAAGTTAAAGCACAAAACGTCGTGTACACAACTCATTATACTCATTTATCTATTATACAGCATATGGTGTCTAAATTAATTAAAACCGGTTCTGAATACCAGAATCAAACCAACTCGTAAACCGAGAAAGAAAGAAAAAACAACAAGAAGAAGGACAAATCTGATGGTAAGAAACATAACCTATGGAGAAATTCTCGAACCCTTGGATGATTAGGGCTAACAACCCGACGCTGGATCTTCAATGCGAGCCGATAAGTCCGCCTGAGTCCCAAAAAGTAAGCTGTTGCCAGAGTTAACTCCCACAACACCATTGTTTCCTAAAAAAGCCTTTTTCTTCTTCCTTCTTCCTTCTCTACGATATTCGAATATACCTTTATAACATTCCTCCGATACGAGAGCCGCCAGAAATGTCAGTCTCTTTCCCCCTCGCAATCACAGATCGCCTTTTCTGGTTTATAGTAGTTTCCTGATTTACGATGAAATCCTCACCGTCCGTTTTTCTTGTTTGACAAGATATAAATTTTAATGGGCCTTTCTAAGATGGGCTTGTGTAACCTTGTAATATGCCTTGTGCTTACCATTTTTGGACTGGATTATCAAAAACAATTTTGGATAAGGATAATTAAGATTTTTCTGTTTGATTTGTATCGCGATAAATTTAAAATATTGATTCAGTTATTTAAATTTTGAGATTTTTCAGATATTCTTAAAAGTTTTGTTCGTTTGTAAATCAGTAGCAGATACGACAACTCCGCGTTAATTAGAGTTTGAAAGAAATAATATAAACCCCATCACGGTAATTAATTATATTCCCTAATTAATTCGATAATCATATGCATTTTTATTTACTTGGTTCGTTACTCTTCTCACTCCACTAACCATTTTCTCTCTCTACCTCCTTCCTTTCTCTCTCTCTCTGTCGGCGATGCAGAGGCTTTCGATAGACTCATCAGTATCCAAGCTTCATAGCTACGGAGGACGGAAAGACGACGCATACGATCACGATGAATTAAAAAAGAAGGAGCCACTCTCCTCTCCTCCTTCTTCGTCATCGTCCGCTGCAGATTACGACGATCACGAGCTCAAAGACTGTAAGCCTCGACGGTTATCTCTATCGTCAACGCATCAGAACGGAGAAAAGTTTGTTCACTTCATCCCCGTCCTCACCATTATCTGTATTGTCATCCTCTACCTCTCCTCTCACGCTCCGTCCCAATCAGGTTCGTTCTCTAATCGAAATCCGACGATCTTCAAATTATTGTTATCTGATTCGGTTTTAAAATGTTATCAGATTTGGCTCAGTTTAACGGATTCATGCGTCACTCAAAGCATCTAGGTACGTTACGTACATTGCAGATTCGATTCAATCTCTTATATTCTTGAAATGAATCTCACTGATTGTTGTTTCCTCAATTAGAATCCGAAGAAGACGGCGAAATCTCGAGGTTGATGATCAATGCCGACGCTCTGGCTATACGTAGTAGGATAAGGAACTTAAAAGAGACGGAAAGCTTCGCGTCGGAGCCACTTCCCCGTCGCCGAGCTTCTCACCGGAAAATAGCCGACTTCTAGCTTCTTTTTTTCTTCGTCATCTAGAATTATCTTCGTCATTTGCATGTTGATTTGTTCGCTGAAACTCAAAAATCACGAATCGCGTTTTCTGTTATAACTAAATTTAAAATTAGCCTCGCCGGTTAACAATAAAAAACCGGCCGGCGATGGAATAACCGTTATGCTAACACGCGCTGTGTATGGGAAGCGTATGTTACAGTTGACTGATAGTAGAGTAAGTTAGAGTGCGCCTAGGAGTAGTTATGCTATCCAGCTGGAGTTTTGGATCGTTACAGAGCCTCGTGCTTCGGTTTAAGATTCCAGCTGGAGTGGATGAGTCGTCGCTCCTCTGGTCCTCGCTCGGTATGCAATCACATACGTTTTAAAAATTTATTACTCGGAGTTAGAGCGACCAGTCTCATCTGCACAACAATAATGTTTAAATAGTATTTTCTCACAATATCTATGTATTTAATTTTATATTTTATGCCCTTATCAAATTGTTCTTTAGAACGAATTATTATTCAAAACCAAAATTTTAAAATAAAATAAAAACTGTTGTCGAAAATCCGAGAAAGATTATAGATTTAAAATCTGGAGTTTCCACGATTAATTGAAAAAATATATATTTTCAATTATTTTCAATTAAATATATTCTCAATTATGGATTAATTGAAAATTCATATTTAATGTATGATTCTTTAATTAAGTTCTTATATAATCACCATTATTCATGATATATCTAAACCGAATCAAATTATTGCTGAACTAAAATCCAAATCAAGTGAATGAGTCGAACGTAAAACCTAATGCCAAGTATAAAACTTTGGAGTATACAGTTTCGACATATCAACGTTATCATAAGGGTCCACTTTATGAATAGTTTGATTAATTGATCTGAAAAAGAGGCATTTGGTGAGAAAAGTGATGCCACGCGGTCTGTCATAATGACGACTGTCACTTTAAGCCCACCACCATCATCACCGTGGTCTGTGACGCTCTCCCTGCTTATGTGGCAGTTCTTCATTGGTGCATTTGGTTAATTATCTTTAACCTTTTCCATTTATCTTGGTGTTGCAGTTTTCTCTTCTTATTTGTTCTTTGAAGTGGACTTAATGTAAATAACTTTCACCCTAAGTTTGTCATTGGATTCGCTTTCTTAACTTCTAAAAAGATTCCTTCTGGAGTTAGTTTGTCTGAGGCTATTACTAATAGCATAGTAGCTCACATGATGATAGACGTATTCAACTTATGGTATGAAAGTATGGGATGATTTTCTGATACAATGTGTCTAACTTACCGACAATGTTTATACTTTCTAGTGAATGTACAACTCACAGTTTTGGATTGAAAAAAGAAGGAAAAAACAATGAAATCAAGGAAGTACTCACAGTCATCTCAAGTTACTAACACAAAATTGTTTGAAACGTCTCTGCCACATTTAAAATAAGCAAATAACAAAACAATATAAACACAAATCAAAGTACCAAAGCAAACAGAAAATGTAATAGAAAAGAAGGTGGGACTGGTTTTATATACCACATAGAGTCTAGTAAAGAAACACAACTAAACCAAGGTTCTTTTTTTTCTCACATCTAAAGGCATCTATGAAAACTGTAAACTAGAAAGGTAAAAAACAACTGAAGAAAAGAAGAAGAGAAAAACAAGTAGAAACAAAATCTAAGTCTGTTCAGAGGTCAACGTGGCACTTGGTAGGATGAAACTGGGTCTGAGACCCTCCTGTAGAACCAGAAGAACTCAACGGAACCTTGAGATGACACTTAATCTTGGGCCTAAAAGCCCACGAGTTCAAAAACCCAAACTTAAACCTGATCTTAAACCTCAGCTTCACGTCGATCCTATAAACCCCAGACTTCCGATCCTCCCTGAGATCCTTCCGTCCACCAGAACCCAACAAAACCAAACTCTCCCCCTCCAACTCCGTCCCAATCTCAGCCGTATCCTTACGTCCCTGGTAAAACGACTTCATATCCACGTCAGCAAAACGCTGGCCACCGTAATAACCCCTCGCCTCTAACTTATCATAATGTATCCCGAGACGTTGATTAGGGTTACGAACCGAGAAACTCAACGAGAGATTGTAACGGAGGTTATTGCTCAGTGGTTCGAGATCGAATCTCGTTAAGTTAGCTTCAGTGACGTGGAATTTCACGACGTTTGGTCGGAGTATGAACCAGAGGATCAGAGCGAGGAGTCCGAGGCAAATGGCTATACCGATGAGGATGTTGCAGAGGAGGGTTAAGATGCAACCGCTGCAGCAAGTGAGACAGTTTAAGAAGCAACGGCAGATGCCGCAGCCTACGTCGGCGCCGCCGCGTTTGCCGTGACTGTGGTAGGTTTGTGATGGAGGATAGCTCGGAGGTCCGTATCCGCCTGCCATGTGTTAGATAGAATGGTTCAGAGGGTATTTAAAAGATTAGAACGAGCGATTGAATGTTTTTTTTTGTTGAGTCTTCTTGATCAACAAGGCAACGAGTTATATATGTACAAAAAATATATGTACAAAATAATGTTCTTATTCCCGTGTAAATTCGAGTTAATCCTTGTTCGTTTTTTTTTAACTATTTAAAAAGGTTAATCCTTGTTTGTTTAGGAATCTAAAGTGGTGGAAAAAGCGGTTGATATATGGTTTTGTTCTTATCATGTAATTATAAAAAGTTATAATATGAAGTTTAAAGAGTAAAAAATGCAAACTAAAACATATAACCTTTTTGTGGTGGTCTTTTTCTATATAGATCAGACATATTTAGAATCGATCATATGCCAAATCTGATAAAATATTCGTTGATTCTCAAAATTTTGAAAAAATTTACATTAATTTAGATTCACAAATTTGTAGAAAAAAATCACCGTAAAACATTTTGAAAAAATTTACATTAATTTAGATTCACAAATTTGTAGAAAAAAATCACCGTAATAATTTTTTTATCGCCAATATAATCTCTTTAAATTAATATTCTATAAATTATTATAAACTAAAAATTTCTATAAAATAATATAATTTTATAGTCTTAAATTGATTTTTAGCTCAATTTATATATCGATAAATTAATAATCTCTATAAATTAATAAAAAATAATAGATTGGTGTAATCCCAACATTGTTAATTAATAGAAGTTTCATTGTACGTTGAAAATGCTCACCATGAACTAGCTCATCTAACTAAACTTAGTCTAATTAAATGGGTAGCTAACGAAAAAGCATATTTTATAGTAAATTTGTAATCGAGTATTGGAATATTTTAAAGAGTGAATATACTCAATATATCAAAAGAAAAAGCTATTTAGGGATTTACCATATTTTTTTTTTTTTTTTTGACATCAGGGATATACCATATTTTGTGGGGGAAAATAGTGATAAGGAAGGAAAGAGAGGAGAGAGAAAAATGGTATGCAGCTAAATTTGTGTGTGTATGGAGTGTAAGTACTATATTTTAAATCACCATACAAATCAATTTGTTTATATAATAAGGTTGAGCTAATATCCATGAATGTATTTATCCAAGCTAACAATATATAAAAGTTGTAGACAAAAAAAAAAAAAAAAGTTGATCTATTTACCGAGTTAAATCCCATAATTTAAGCTATTTACTTAATTGACCCTGTTTTAACGACGTGGCTCGTGTATCTCATGAATTTGATAGGGTCGAGGATATGGCAGCTGCGACACTGAGATTAACGATTCCTTTTGCACTCTCCAGTCACCCACTAGCCTCTCCCCTACGGTTCAAATCAATCGGCAACGAGACAGCATCTTTCAGAACGGTGAAAATGGCAGCTACTGTTGGGTCCGACACTGAAACGACGTCGTCTACTTCCAGAGTCATCGATTCTCATCTCCACGTCTGGGCTTCTCCTCAAGAGGTAATCCAATTCTACTAAATGACTAATCTGCTGAGTAAGTGATCTGATGGGTCTTCCAATATGTACGTTTCAGGCCGCGACTTATCCTTATTTTCCAGGTCAAGAACCTACGTTGACTGGTGATGTCGAGTTCTTGCTCAAGGTTTTTAAGCTCAGCTCAACTCAAATTATTATGGGTTTTGAGAAATTTTAGGAAAGATGTCTTCTTTGATGTTTTTTTGCGTTGTTAATCTGTTTTGTTGTTTGTTTTTGTTAACTTAGAACATGGAAGATGCAAGAGTAGATGGAGCTCTCATTGTGCAACCCATCAATCACAAGTTTGATCACTCTTTAGTTACAAGGTCCCATCCTTTTTCTTTATTCCTGAATCTGCATTTTCCTCAAGTGATGATGTACTTAGTTCCAAAGCTTATGAAACAATAGGCTTCTTTCATTTCGTTTTACTTATGGTGGATCTGTCTAGATGTATCTTTTCTTGTCAGTAAATGACCATGGGATGCATAATGTATTACTAGGACAGAGTTTTATTTGGTTCTGTCAGAAAAATCAAAGCTTTTTAGTGATTCTCCAATCATAGTAGACCTTAGATTGTTTGCGAGGTCAGCTTCTGCCTTCTTTCAGTAAATGATTTTGCTTTCTTATTGACAGTGTTTTGAAGAAATACCCGTCGAAGTTTGTTGGCTGTTGCCTTGCAAATCCTGCAGAAGATGGCAGTGGAGTTAAGGAGCTTGAGAGTCTTGTTCTAGAGGTCTTTCCTTTAGCTCTTTCTCAATGCATTTCAAATATATGCATCACATATCTCTGAGTTTTTAGAACTGTTATTGTAGAGTAATTATAAAGCTGTCCGGTTCAATCCCTATTTGTGGCCGTCGGGTCAGAAGGTACCAACTCTCTGATTATTCCAGTTACCTTGGATCAAGTTTCTATATTTTACTCTTTTTAATTATCAATGATTTTTCACAACACAGATGACAAATGCTGTTGGAAAAGCTATGTTCTCCAAGGCAGGGGAGCTTGGTGTGCCTGTTGGCTTCATGTGCATGAAGGTCTGATATGATAGTGATTTGACCTTTGTGTGCTCCAACGTTGTGTGAAGGTTTTTCTTAAAAAGTGGTTTTGTTTACTTTTATTTAGGGTCTACATCTGCACATTGCAGAAATTGAGGAACTGTGCACAGAGTTTCCAAAGACAACTGTCTTACTAGATCACGCTGGATTCTGCAAAGTACCAGAGTGAGCTGTTCTCTGCTATTCTGAGAAATAATCCAGACCCCTGCAGCTCATAAAGAACATTTTACTAATATATTCATGGTTTGATTAACCTGCAGAAATGGTGAGGTTAAGCATACTTATACTCAACTCTTGGAGCTCTCTAGATTCCCACAGGTGAAGACAAGGAAAATCCTTACTTTTTAGATATCGAATCATACGAGTCTGAGGAAAGAGTTTTGAAACAAGCAGGTATATGTCAAATTCAGTGCTCTATTCAGGATATCAAGAACTGGTTTCCCGTATCAGGACCTAACGCCACTCCTATCTCAAGTTGTGTCCAGTTTCGGGGCAAATCGTGTCATGTGGGGCAGGTAAATTTTTTTTTGTTTACCCCTAAAGAAAACTTATATATGGACGAACAATAATATGGATTGGCTGCCTTTCTGTCTGCTGCAGTGACTTCCCATATGTTGTTCTTGAATGTGGATACAAAGAAGCCAAGGAGGCTGTGACTATTATTGCAAAACAAGCATCCTTATCAAGTTCTGACATGGACTGGATCCTGGGAAAGACTGTGATGCAGCTGTTCCCTGGACAATGGGCCCTTCCTTGAGAGGTCGCATGAGTATGAGCTAATCAAGCCAAAAAAAATGGAGGTTATACCATCGAAGACACATAACTCTATGCTTTCTTATTACCAGACTACGCCAAATGTAATAGTGATCCGACACAACTTTTCTGTATTGAAAGCCTGAAACATGCGTGTTGGTAACATAATGCTTTACTATGAGATTATAGAGGACATGGATGCTGACAATGTATTCTACAATGCGTGAGACGTAAGAGTGATATATTATATTAGACTTTGATCATTTGTGGCGTTGCTGGGATCCAAAATTTTATTCATGTTTGAATCACAGAGTTCCAACTTTGTTCATCAAGTGTGAAAATAAAAGAAGAGAGAAGAATACATGTGGAGAGGGAGTGCCAGACAGCTTTGAGGAAAACCATGTTTACAGAAAGATAACTCCACCTTCAGACTTCAAACAAGATTTGAGCAGATGAAACTGAGAAGCTCTGAATCTCATCATACTCTCAATGCTAATGAGCTTGCGAACGAATGGCTTCTAGAGTTCTAGGTATTAATGCATCCCAACACTCTAAATGAACGAAGTACTTAAGAGCATGTTTATTGGGAGGGTGCTTAAGCGGGGTGTTTAGAGAAGTGGGGTGCTTAGTTTTGAAGAGAGAAAGTGTTGAAAGTGCTTAAACACTTTCTCTCTTCAAAACTAAGCATTTCACTCCCTTAAACATCCTCCCTAAGCATCCCCAATAAACATGCTCTAACCAACGCTAGTTTTTTTTTATAAATGGACTTAACCAAAAGATTTATCTTTTAGTCGCTGTCTGAAGCTTAAATTAAATGCTACTAAGAGCATGTTCAATGCATGTTGCTTAGAGAGTTGTTTGGGAGGAGAAAGTTGCTTAATTTGAAGAGAGAGAATGTGAAAAGTGCTTAATTAAGCAACTTCTCTCCTCCTAAACAACTCTCTCTCTCTTCAAATTAAACACTCATCTCTTCTTAAGCAACTCTCTAAACAACCTCTGTTAAACATGCTCTAAGACTTTGATTGGCTCCTATTTGTCTACTACTTCCCTCTTCATTTACTTTCTCTCTCAGTCTCCTCCTCTCCTTCTCTACTTAAAAATCAATACTTTGAGCTCCTCTGTTACTAGTTTAGGGTTTCTTGGTCGACCTGATGAGTCATCGCCGGGATACCAGAACCGACGTGGTTCACGTCATACCCACAAACGACCCTCCACCAGAATCACCGTACAAGAAAACACGCGGGTCTCCCTCTTCCTCCTCCTCCGAGATTATAAAACCCTTCTTCAAGACCAAGCTCTGCTGCAACTTCCGCACAGGAAACTGTCCGTACGCTACGAGCATTTGCCATTTCGCTCACAGCGTGGAGGAGCTCCGTCTTCCGACGGCGGCTGAGACCCGCGGGGAGTTTAAGATGCCTGCTGAGAGTGGAAGACCGTACAAGGGAAGGCACTGCAAGTTTTACGGCGGAGAAGGAGGGTGTCCTTACGGAGAAAGATGTACGTTTCTACACGACGAGGGTTCAAGAGACAGAGAGAGATTTGCCATTAGTTTAGGCTCTCGTGGTGGTTGTGGTGCTGGTGATGTTGTTGCTCTGAATTGGAAGACAAGGATGTGCAACAAGTGGGAGATGAGTGGGTTTTGTCCTTTCGGTACTAACTGCCTCTTTGCTCATGGAGCTTCTGGTAAAAGTCTCCACCTTTACTGTGTCTAATAGTAACTGCAATGTGATCTTAATAATGTGTGTTTTATTTAGTGTTGCTTGATGAATCTTGAGATAAGAGTGTCACTAGAGAGATAATGGAAATGCAGAAACTTTCAACAGTTGGTAGCTAAAAGTTTGCCTTTTTATGATGTTGTTTTTGTAGAGTTGCATAGGTTTGGTGGGGGACTTGTGGAAGAAGACGGTAAGATCAGAGCATCTTCTACTCTTGACACAAAGAAGACAGGACTAGCTGACACAGTGAGTAGCCTTGTTTCTCATGGAGTTCCTTCCCAACGTGCATCTAATGCTGTTACTCAGAAACCCAACGGAGTCAGAGTTCTAAGGAAATGGAAAGGACCGGATAAAATCAGCAGGGTTTATGGTGATTGGATCGATGATATTGAATAAAGTCACTGCCTTTTATTACAGTCTGATTGATGACAAAGGTAGTTTAGAGTTCTAACTATGTGATATATTAGCTTCCTCTTCTTGTTGTAGATTGTGACTTAACAAAGAGCTCATCTTTTTGTTGTTTGTATCACATCTGATTCTCTTATGCCAATCCTAATTCAGATCTTGTTCCAGTCCAAACCGAAGTAAACCGGGACCATCATTGTTACCTGCTATTTTTAACATTTTGACTGTCACAGAAGACTCGCTCAAAATTGCTAAGCAAAGCCACTTATGTATCTTTACCATAGCCCACTTCTTTCTCCTCACTTCTCTCAACTCACAATTAGAACAGTACTTTATTATCTCGCAAGCCATTCTCATAACAAAACCTTTCTTCCTCCCCAAGCAACTGGTGAAAAGCCAGGCCTTATCAATCTCCCTCCACATGGCGTCAACAACAACAACAACAACAGTACCAGCTACTGAACTTTTCACTAGCCTCACCATACCCATCACCTTAGTCCTAACATGCACTCTTCTCTTTGTCATCGTCGCAGGATTCATTTCTCTCCTCTTCTGGAAATGTTTTCTAAACCGGTTGTTCTCAGCTTGGACACGTCAGAGAACACCCTACAATGACCTAATCCACGTCACCACCCCACCTGAAAACACAGGCCTCGACCCATTCATCATCAAATCCTACCCTGTCTTCCCCTACTCATCAGCAAAAATCAAAAACCAAGTCACCGAATGTTCCATCTGCTTGTCAGAGTTTACAGATCAAGACACCGTTAGGGTCATAACGGTATGTCGTCACGGGTTTCATACAAGTTGCATTGATCTTTGGTTTGAGTCACACAAGACTTGTCCCGTTTGTCGGTGTGAGTTAGACCCGGGTCTTGTCGGATCTGCAAGCCATGATGAGTCGGTCAGAATCACTATTCAAGACCTAAACCATGATGAAGAGACTCTTCCTAGCGCTAGCTCGAGCAAAAGGGTTATGGAGGGTTCGCCTTGGAGATTCTCTAGGTCACATTCTACGGGGCGTTTTAAGGTTAGGAATGTGAAGATTAAGAGAAGATCACATTGCCAAACAGGAAGCAGTAGTTTCATGTTTGATGAAAACCCTGTCCCTGGTAAAAGGGTTAGGGAAATCTCGGCTTGGAGATTCACGAGGTCTTATTCTACAGGGCAGTTCATGCGTAAGCCGAGGGAGGCTTGTGTTAACTTCAAAGGTAGCTGTGTCTCGTTCGATGAACTTACTCAGTATATTGACCCTGAAAAATATATTATGGCTTGGTGATTGATTCATCATAGTACCTTGATTAGCAGGATTTGAAGTCTAGTTTTTCCAATAATTTTTTTTTTATTTTTGTGTTCTTTTTTAGGAGTAGATATTCAACATTGTAATAAATTTTTCTAGTCAGATCTCCTTATATGAATAAACTGAGTAAGAATAAAAGTTATTCCATGTGTATTTCTTGAGAAATATTGTTGTCCTTATGTTGATAACAAAGAACATAGAAGCCTTGTTTCACAATGAGGAAGGAGAATCATACTTAAATGGTTTGAAAGTAACCTATCCACACTTTATCAGGGAAGAATGGATTTTGGATCAAGAACATGTACTTAAAGGAAATCTACTGGACCGGTTTGGTTTTCTGCAGAAACCAATTGTGAACCGGATCTACCAACTTCGGTTCTAAAGGTTAATTGATGACACGAGGAACTAATTGCATATAGTTTATGGTAGTTGTACCAATATAATTCCATATTCTACATAGGACTCTTCCACATTTTGTAGTTGAATAAAATAAAAGTCAAAACAAAATTAAAAGCTTCCCATCAAAATACACAAACATTATATTCTGTTTTCAAGAAAAGTTTGGTCAATACAAAATCTGGTAATTCCAATTAACAACAGTATGATTTTTAAGGATTGATTTAAAATAGACTCCTAAGAGCACCTCTAATATTTGTTACCCACCATTAGAGTTTTTAGTAATATGATAATTGTTTTTGTTGAATAGTTAATGATTCTAATCACAAATATTTCTCTAATGATGTTATCTATTATGGAATTCTTAAGAAAATAAAATATTAAATTTCAAAATATTCGGAATTAGAATTTTTATGAGAAAATGACATAGAAAAACCTAAAAAAGTTTTTGTCACAAATATAACCTAAAAGGAAAAAAAGATAAAAATAGATTTTATTAAAGAGTATAAAAACACATTTATATTCTTTGGGTTAACTAATCTATACTTAAAGTTTAGAGTTATGAGGTTTAGGATTTATGTCTCACGGTTTAATTTTCTTTTAAAAAATTAAAAATTTCAACAATCGAACGTAGTCACGTTAGTAAAGATCAAGTCTTTAATATCTAAATTAATAATTTTTTTAGTTTATGTAAATTAAATATTATTATTTAAATTTAATTTATCTAAGAATACCTGGTAAGAATTTGGTTAAATCCCGTATTGCGGGTGGTGTAAAGAAAGTTCAGCCAGACGTCTTCAATCCATTTGCATGTGTGATGCATGTAAGAGCATGCACATTGGTGTTATCAACCAATTGATCCTTAGCCTTTTTTTAATATTTTTTTGTACTTTCTGAATAGTTAAGGATCTTCATCCGTTTTTCAAGTCCATTGGTGTTCTTCAATCCGGAATCCTTATGAATAAAATAATATATTTTTAAAAAAAAAAAAAAATTTATAAAATTTATTTTATTAAATGATAAAAAAGAAAATACAACAATATTTTATTAATCTTCATAACCAAATTTGTTCCAAATATTTTCTATTAAATCATTCTTCAATTGGTCATGGATACGTCGATCGCGAATATGAATCCGAACGCCACGCATTTCGTCGATACTTGGAGGTGTGTACCTACTATAAGAAACATTCACCCGTGAAGTTCTTGTGAAACAACTACATCTTAGGCGGTAGGAAGCAACCACTCTTCTGAAGAGAAGTTACATCTAAACGTGAACTAGTTTCTATAACGTTACATCATATAAAACTAAAGTTACATCTAAACTAAAGTTACAACTAAAGTAACTAGTTTCTATAACGGTAACTAGTTCCATATAAATAAGTAAAGAGAAGTAAGTTACATCTAAAGAGTAGTAACTAGTTACCATTTAGGGTAAGTACTTGCATCTTAACTAGTGACTACTTCTTATATTAAAGTATGTCTTTTTATTTAATTTTAGTTCTTATATTAAAGTAAATCTTTTTATTTAATTTTAGTTCTTATGTTAAAGTATATCATTTTATTTATTTTTAGTTCTTATATAAAGTTTCATATATTTTTAGTTCTTATATAAAGTTTCATATATTAATGTTGAACCTTATTAAACGAAGTTGTAGTGTTGTACCTAATTATGCCGACATGTGGTTTAGACCATTGAAGCTCTTCCTGCAAAAAACAAGAGATCGAAGAGTCAATAGTGTTACTTAAATTGCATGAAGAACAACCAAAACAAAAGAGATGTACTTACCAGTCACACACATAACCGCCAAACCTATAGCAGCTAATACGGAGACGACTACACAAACGGTCTTTAGCTCTCGAACGGTCTTCCTAAGCTCACACACGGTCTTCTGAAGCTCCCACACGGTCTTCTGTACCTTGACCACCTTCTCATCACATTGAAAACCTTGATCCTTAAGGTGTCTAACTTGTCTCTGCACCTCACTCATCTCCTCTGAGACAGCCACGTCCCACCACTTCCAAATGTGGCACTCCCCGTCGTCTACATTGTCGCACGTGTAGTACAACCTCCCTGGATGTTTGCTCGTGTAGGATATACCAACANGGTCTTCTGTACCTTGACCACCTTCTCATCACATTGAAAACCTTGATCCTTAAGGTGTCTAACTTGTCTCTGCACCTCACTCATCTCCTCTGAGACAGCCACGTCCCACCACTTCCAAATGTGGCACTCCCCGTCGTCTACATTGTCGCACGTGTAGTACAACCTCCCTGGATGTTTGCTCGTGTAGGATATACCAACAACAGGCTCACCACCACAGTAGCAACTGGTAGGGATTCCAGCATCAGCCTCAACTTGAGATGTGTACTGACCCGGCTCTGCAAAGTTGCTACTCGAAGCTTCATCCGCGTAGAGTTGAGCTTCTGCTTCAAGAAGTGACGTGATGTCAAACTCTGATGATGAGGAAGGCTGGGTGTACGAATAGTCTTGTCCCATGTTGAGTAAACCTGAAACAAATCATGTAATAACAATAGTTAGTGCTCTCAATCTATAACCAACAATCAAACTGTGTGTTAAAGAAATCCTAAGGAAACCAGAGACAACAACACACACAGACACGAAGCAATACCGAAACAACTAAACACAGACAATCACGGATCACGGATCAATACCGAAACCAGAGAGCAATACCGAAAAACTACAGACACGAAGCAATACCGAAACACAGACAATCATGGATCAATACAGAAACAGAGGGATTTTAAAACGGAAATCGATTTCAAACCTAAATCGTTGTCAAACCCTAAATCCCAAAAGTTCGATTGAAATCCTAAATCCCAAAAGTTCGATTACAAAGCACAGGAGAATATCCAGAAATTGATGGAAACCTAAATCGTTTTCAAACCCTAAATCACAAAAGTTCGATTGAAATCCCAAATCCTTCGAAACCCTAATTTGAAAAACACAAATCAATCGAAAACGAGAAAACCGAACCCTAAATTGAAAGGAAAACAACAAAAGACCTAATCTAAACACATAAATCAGCAACATGAACCTTCGATCTACCTTTCTCGAACGAGTTCTCCGAAATCGCCTTTTCTCCAGAGCCAATTTTTTTTTCTCCGCTTCGGTCGAAATGACTTTTTTTCGCGACAAAACCCAAACCCTATCAAAAACCGACCAACCACAACGTGACACGTGGCTAAGGATCAACGAAAATAAATCCTTATTTACGTATTGATCCTTAGCCATTTGGGATTAAATAATATAAAAAAAATGCCTAATTCGATGGACCGGTGGTTAAGGATCCCCACGTTCCCACCGATGCACATGGTCTAACAGACGCCGTCGTTTAATGACAACTTGTCACTCACCACCAACCAAAACCAAACCATTTCCTATTTATTCTTTTTTTTATTTAAAGCAAAAATAAATTAAAAATCCTCATTTGAGAGTCGGAGAAGGAGAAGAAGAAGAAGAGTAAGGTCAATCAAAGCTTCACTACTCTGCTTTGAAGTGTGACACTATGGCGTCGCTTGCTTTGTCCTTTCCTCCAGCCGCGGCTAAGACGCCGTCCTATTTAGCCTCGTCGTCTTCGAACTTCTTATCCTCTTCTTCCTCTTCTCTCTCGTTCACTACCTCTCAGTCTCACTCCCGAAACTCTGTTTTCTCTTGTATTGTAAGCATCTTAACTCATAGAACTCGAGTGTTTAGATTCATAGATTGCATGGAGCCTTATTATTACCCATCTTGTCTAGTTTGAATTTTGTTAGCTTTTGACATAAAAAGGTTGTCTCTTTTCGTCATGTTCTGTTTTGTCATGTTCTCTAGTTTAAATTTCTGTTCTTTTGATACAAAGGTTGTCTCTTTCGTCAGTTTCTGTTTGTTGATGTCATTGCAATTGCCAATGGAGCCTATTACCCATCTTGTCTGGTTTAATTTTTTGAGATTTTGTTACAAAGACTGTCTCTTTGGTCAGATTCTGTCTGTTAAGGTTGTTACTTTAGCCAATGTGAACTAGATAACTAGATTGGTTTGTTTGATATAAGTTTAGCTAGCTTACTATCCAGGAACAGGAACTGAAAGATAAGATTTTGTGTGTGTGTTTGTTTTTTGTTTTTTTCTTTGCTGCTAGAAATGCGATCTTGGTAATGGGAATCCAAGTATCCCAATCATCAACGAGAAGACACTTCCAAAGTTCTTGGAATCCGCCCGGATGGAGAAATCAGTCAACAGAACCAACAACACCAGGCTCAAGTTATTCTCCGGTACAGCAAATCCAGCACTCTCTCAAGAGATAGCTTGGTACATGGGCTTAGATCTTGGCAAGATCAAGATCAAGAGATTTGCTGATGGAGAAATCTACGTCCAGCTTGAAGAGAGCGTTAGGGGATGTGATGTCTACTTGGTGCAGCCTACTTGCACTCCAACTAATGAGAATCTCATGGAGCTTTTGATTATGGTTGATGCTTGTCGAAGAGCGTCTGCTAAGAAAGTTACTGCTGTGATTCCCTATTTTGGATATGCAAGAGCTGACAGGAAGGTGAGTAGCTGTTACCTGGATGGTTCTTTGTTTGATAAATATCATCTTATGTGTGTTTTTGTTGTTGCTTGTAGACACAAGGGCGTGAATCCATTGCTGCCAAATTGGTTGCTAACCTTATTACGGAAGCTGGTGCAGACCGAGTGCTTGCATGTGATCTTCATTCAGGACAGTCAATGGGTTATTTTGACATTCCAGTTGATCATGTGTACTGTCAGGTTACACTTCTAAAGCCACGTTCTTGATAGCTACAGCCTCTCCTCTCGTAATGCTTTTAATTTTTCTTACAGCCGGTGATACTTGACTATCTTGCTAGCAAGTCAATTGCCGCACAGGATTTGGTTGTTGTTTCTCCTGATGTTGGTGGAGTAGCTAGAGCACGCGCTTTTGCTAAGAAGTTATCAGATGCTCCACTTGCCATTGTGGATAAAAGGCGTTCTGGACACAATGTTGCTGAGGTAATATAATACCGTTTCTCTTTCAAACTCAGAGATTACTCAACAACTCATGTTTACTTCCCACTCAAGTTTCACATGCGTTATAACCTTTCAGGTCATGAACCTCATTGGTGATGTGAAAGGGAAGGTGGCAGTAATGGTTGATGATATGATTGATACTGCTGGTTAGTATAAACAACATCATGGATGGACTCTGGCTTAATCATATTCTCTCAAGAAACACGCTAAAGATATGTTCTCTTTTTTTTTTCAGGAACCATTGTGAAAGGAGCAGCTTTGTTACACCAGGAGGGTGCTCGTGAGGTCTATGCTTGTTGCACTCACGCTGTTTTCAGGTAACCTGTTAAACCTATTTTTTTGGTTCTTGAACAGTCTCAAAACCATTACCTTTCTGAAGCATTTATATTGTTTGTAATGAATAAATGGAATTAGCCCGCCAGCGATAGAGAGATTATCAGGAGGTTTGCTTCAAGAAGTGATAGTGACAAATACATTACCAGTAGCTGAGAAGAATTACTTCCCGCAGTTAACAATCTTATCAGTGGCTAATCTTCTTGGTGAGACGATTTGGCGTGTCCATGATGATAGCTCCGTCAGCAGCATTTTCCTGTGATCTCGTCATCTCTTTCTCATTGCATCATTTTCTTGCTTTTGTTAGTCGGTGTAGAATCCGGTTTACCAAGTTTTCTTGCTTTGTGTCCTCATAGTTTATAGACTTTTCTTGTTTGGTGAACATCTCATTATGGATTTAACAATTGGTCTTGACCCGGTTTTGATTTATGGTATACACAAAGATTCTAAAGTTGATTCATGGTCTCATAAGTCATAACGTGTTATCTCTACATGGCGCAAATTGAATCAAAGCTCATTAACAAATATCATTGTGCTTAGTCTCTTTTGTGAGGCAACTTAGACGAACATTATTACAGTGTGTATGAGAAAGATAGAGAAATCAAAAAGACTTATGATACGTGAAACGTATCTCTTGGATCAAAACAGTAACAAAGCAAAAGAGACAAACGTAGATTGATTTTCCAAGCAAAACAGTCACTCTGATTATTATTAGACTCATTTTCCAAGCTGTATTGTACTTTGGAAGGAAACAAACAGGAGAATTCACTCAGCGTTGAAAAACCCTCCAGGAACTATTATTGCTGAGATTCAGCAAATAATCAGACTCAGATTAGAGTCCTCTGGCTCGTTGTCAGATTGTTCATCCAGGACAAAATTCTGTGCTTGCGTCTTGGTTATTGTTCTTTGCAGCGTGAAGTCATCAAATTTTGGTCTTGAGATACAAGTTCATAATAGGTTTCTGATAATTGGAGTCGTTGTTATTTTGTCTCTAGCCCGGTACAGTTGTTAGGCCTTGACATTCTCTTTTTTTTTTGTAATGGGCTTACTTAATAAATTGAGGTTTTAAAAAAAAAAAAAAAGATTGATTACAAAAAATGTATTATAACGTTTCGAGAATTATTAGACCATCTTTATCCCAGTCTTTAATAGGGTTTTAAAGGTGGAGGAGGCCCATTATATCAAAAAACCGGGAGCCAATGCTGTCAAAGAAGAAACGTTTGCTTTGGATTTTTTCAACTGTTCGCGGACCCCATTGATACGTGGCGGCCTACGATTGGCTCTTTTATATTTTTTTTTTTAATTAAACAAAAATTAAAAACCCAAGTGGGTATTTAAGATAAAGATGGTCTTAATGGAGTCTCTCACCTCTCCGGTCTAATCTCTAAGAGCACATTTATCGGCGTGTCTTAAGGGGTAGTTAAGCGAAAATTGCAATTAAAATAAATGGGAAAAAGACAATTAAACAAAACACGTCTCTCGATCAAGGTCTCGAGAGCACGTTCCTTAGCGAGCACGTGGCACAATATCATTTGCCGGAAGAGTGGTGACCCCTTTCGTCCTCTATTCTCCTTTCTTTCTTTTTTTCACTTTCCTCTTCTCTCCGTGGCGAAACCACGACTCGTCGACACCTCCTCGACAAACGGCAAGTCTGTTCCGGTGGTTCCCGGCAAGCAAAAACGGCGACATATCTCTCTATCGGTGGGTCTTTGAGGCATCATCTCTCTCTGTCGGTGGTTCTTTGAGGCCTCCTCTCTCTCTATCGGTGGCTCAGTGGGACGTAGATAAACGGTGACTGTTGTGGTTCCGGCGATTCGAGAGGTTGTATATCTCACTATGCATGTCTTGATTCTGATTATTATTTTTAGGATTTCTTTGATCTGGTTTGATTTATTTGATCTGTTGTGATTTGTTTATTCATCGTTTGTTTTTGTGTGAGAATATATCATGATCATCGTTTCTTTTTGTTTTTTGATCAGGGAAGCTTCTGCGATAGAGGATTATGAAGCTGGTGGAGGTGAAATTTTGGTTTATGATCGTTGGGTTGCTATGATGGAAGGCTAAAGGTTAACTTTTATATTAAATCTGCAAATTTATCTTCTTGACTATGATTTCGCTTAGTTAGATTTTGTGTCTTTAGTTAGATTTGGTCTTTGTAATAGTTTTGATTTGTCTCTGTTTTATTTTTCATTCTGAAGTTGTTTGATGAAGATGCTTGCTCCAGTTGGTGAGACATAATGGTACGACGGCTCATACAGGTAAACTCCTTTCTTTGCTCTGGATCAGTATGTGGTTAGATAATAAATTGATGTTAAGTGGTTAGATAGAAAGGAAATTACGGTTGGCTTAGGTAATAAATACGTTCATAGAAATGAAGTTAAGTGGTTAGATAGAAATGATAAACGTGCTTTAAGTGGTTAGATAGAAATGAATGAATTACATTGATGAACGTGGTGGATACATGTCTAATCTGTTTTCTCTTCAATGCATTTTGCTTCTCTTCAGTGTATTTAAATATGTCCTTCTCCTATGTCTTCTCTACATTTCTCACCGTATTCTTTCTTTCTCACTCTCTCATCTCTGTTATTTTCTTTCTCCCTTCATTGAGCTTAATTACGAGATGGATTCTTATCCATTTTCCTACACCTCAAAATTCACTGACTTACTAAATAGCCAACAAAACATTTCGTTTGGGAATTATGAAGAGAGTATCTCACAGTCTTCATCACAAGCTGTTGCATCCGAAGCTGATGGGGAGACTGGTACACAGCGCAAAGAACGGAATAAGTGGACTTCTGCGGAGGATCTTGTGCTCATAAGCTCGTGGCTTAACACAAGCAAAGATCCAGTGGTTAGCAATGAACAAAAGGCAACCACTTTCTGGTCAAGAGTAGCAGCTTATTATGCTGCAAGTCGTCAAGATGGTGACTGCGAGAGAGCGGCCTTGAAGTGCAAGCAAAGATGGCACAAGATCAATACTCTTGTGTGCAAGTTCTGCGGAGCCTACGAAGCAGCAAAGAGGGAGAGGAAGAGCGGCGAGAATGATGATAATGTGCTCAACAAAGCACATAAAATATTTGAAGCCAACAATAATAAGAAGAAATTCCTCCTGGAATATGCTTGGAAAGAGCTCAGGAACGACCAGAAGTGGTGTGAGGCAGCGTCTGCTAAAAATGCAGGAAATTCAAAAAAAAGAAGATGTGAAGATGGTGGAGAGTCTTCAGCCTCTCAAGCAAATGTTGAGTCGCGTCCTCCGGGTGTAAAGGCATCAAAATCCAGTGGTAAGAAGCAAGTGGGTGAGGAGAAAGCGATGAAGGATTTTGAGAACATGTGGTCTATGAGACAACAAGATCTCGAGAGGAAAGAACGCTTGTCTAAGATGAGACTACTAGACAGTTTGATAGCCAAAAAAGAACCTCTTCTTGAGTATGAGGAAGACCTCAAGAAGAAGCTGATTAATGTTCTGTTCTCTTGAAATTTCTAGGATGTGTGATGTTTGTCTAATTTATTTAAGTTCTGTTATCTTTGTTATATCTTTGTTCTCGGATGTGTGATGTTGTAGGTGGTCTTATGTTATCTTTGTACTCTGTTCTTGAANTGATAGCCAAAAAAGAACCTCTTCTTGAGTATGAGGAAGACCTCAAGAAGAAGCTGATTAATGTTCTGTTCTCTTGAAATTTCTAGGATGTGTGATGTTTGTCTAATTTATTTAAGTTCTGTTATCTTTGTTATATCTTTGTTCTCGGATGTGTGATGTTGTAGGTGGTCTTATGTTATCTTTGTACTCTGTTCTTGAAGTTTAATCGAAATGTTTGATGTGGTTTTATGTGGTTTTAAGTAAAGTGTGTCTTTTAATTTCTAACTGTGGTTTTTATGTGCTTTTATGTTCTGTTATGCAGGCTGGAGCACACTTTATGAGCAAAACAGGCAGAGGTCACGGGTCTTGTTGTCTTTGTATTCTGGTCATGTGTTGTTGTCTTTGTATTCTGATCATTTTGTGTTGGAATAGAGTGTGAGATAGATGTCACGGGTCTTGTAAGCTTGTTCTTTTTCTCATTTTGTGTTGGAATAGAGTGTGAGATAGAGGTCACGGGTCTTGTAATCTTATTGTTTTTCTCATTTTGTGTTGTATGAGAGTGTGAGACAGAGGTCACGGGTGTTTTGTAATCTTGTTCTTTTGGTCATTTTGTGTTGTACGAGAGTGTGTGACAGAGGTCACATGTGTTTTGTAATCTTGTCTCACGGATATTTGATGCTATCATTTATAAATGTGATTTGTTATCTCAGCATTCTCATCATTCACTACATTCTCTTTCTCAAAAGAAATCTCAAACACCATTCTCTCTCAATCTTCTCTTTTAGAAACAAAAAAAATATCATCTCATGGCATCTTCATCTCAAAACAATTCCGAGGGTTCTCAAAACAATTCCGAAGATTCGTTTGATGAAGCTTTTGATCAATATTTTNATGTGATTTGTTATCTCAGCATTCTCATCATTCACTACATTCTCTTTCTCAAAAGAAATCTCAAACACCATTCTCTCTCAATCTTCTCTTTTAGAAACAAAAAAAATATCATCTCATGGCATCTTCATCTCAAAACAATTCCGAGGGTTCTCAAAACAATTCCGAAGATTCGTTTGATGAAGCTTTTGATCAATATTTTGATCAACGTTACGAGCAAGCATTTGAGAATTTGTGCAATACTTATGATCGTCAACAACAAAGGAAACCAAGAAAAAAAAGAGAATATATTGAAAGATACCGTGAAGAAGGTCATGTCCGATAAATAAACTTGATCTTTGTTTAAAATTTCAAGTTTAAAAATAAATATAATATTTTTTTATGTTAAGAACTTTAATTAAGAAACTACCAATAAATTGATATTATCTATGTGTCTCTTAACAAAATTCTTAATCTCACTTTTTGACTAAAAAATTAACTTTTAATGGCTAAGAGACCTTAAGTGAGTTTTGTTGATAAACATGCTCTAAGACCATGTTTATTGCAGGTCCCTTAAGTTGGGTCCCTTAGCGTACGGTCCCTTAACTTTTAACTGAAAACGCTAAGGGACGTCCCTTAAATCCCTTATATAAGGGACGTCCCTTAGCGTTTTCAGTTAAAAGCTAAGGGACTGTACGCTAAGGTACCCAGCTTAAGGGACCTGCAATAATCATGCTCTAAGACTCTAAATAAAAGATAACTAATCGCATTATTCTCTATTTGTACCCAAGTCACACCTTACCTTCCTCCGCACGATACGTGATGCAACATTCCACGTGATAAAACATCCCATGTGCACCAGATCCAGAGCTGGCTTAGAGCACCGTTAACTTAGAGCACCGTTAACGGCTGTTTCTTATAAGAAGTTCTTAACATGAAATTAATGAAGAACATAGAAACATAAACAGTGGAGAGAAAATAAAAACGGTCCAACGTTGACATTTTTGTAACCTTACTTAACAGATGTCATTTTTTTTTGGTAAGTAACAGATGTCATTTAATTAAAGGCTCAATTAATTAAAGGAAAATGAAATACATAATAAATCTAATAAAATAGCGTTATATTCTTTTTTTTTCTTCTAAAAATCCACTGAGTTTATTCTAATAATGTTGCTCTTACCATATGCCATAGGAGCGGCCAGTACCGCCCCGGACCCGTTCCTATTTTATTTTTATTTTTTATTTTTTTCTTTATTTAACCTATATAATATAGATTTTAAATTTAAAAAAAGTTCTAAAAACGTAATAATATAAAATGTTTAGTTTAAAACTCAAATAAAAAATAAATAAACGAGACTAATTTATTTAAATAACTATAACAATTTCAATAATATAAAAAATAATTTTAAAATAATAATAGGGTCTAAAATTATTTTTTTGCCTAGGGCCTATAGAACTCCAGCTCACCAGAACATCATGGACAATTCATATTTATTCCTTATTCTAGAAGCTTGCCATGATAAGAACCAACTCTTGTTCTTGGGCTAAATGATGAGTAAAGCACACCGTGCACACGTAACAACTTATTCCTAAAGATGTGATCTTTTCCAGCTTTATAGGAAAGAATGGCCAGTTCTGTTCATTGTCCAACATCTTCAAAAGTTTAGAACAATTTTATTCTAAAAACAATCATAAGTATATCTTTGCAGTCAAGTACTTCATAGACAATAGGCCTGTAACAAAGCCTCCAGGCTCTAGTTCAGCGTCTAGAGTAAAAAAGTTACTATTGAACTTTCTTTCTCATTCTTATTTGAATTTCTAATGAATTAATATAACCTATATTATTATTATTTGTCTGCTCGAATATCCACTGATGGCTATGAATCAGTTTTTGTCATACACTTGAGGTTTGTATCTTTATGGGTATGATGATAAGGAGGACGAAATTTATGAAAGATTTTTAGATAAAACTCTGAAACAAAAACTGAGATAGATACACATTGCATAGATGGACCCAACGGCTCACATAGTACCAAAAGATTTGTAGTGTGACATTTCACATTTGCGACTTCTCTTCTTACTTTCTCTAGGGATGGCTTATGAAATTCTACTAGAGCTATAGCTATCAATAATAATACTATTAAGATTATTAGTCCTCAAAGAATGTTTTCCCATGGTTGTTATGGGAAATTTGGAAAGGTAGAAACGCTTTCGTCTTTGAGTCTAAGAGGATCGAGGCATCATTCATTGCTAGAAAAGCTTATGAGGAAGAATCCACATGGTTTGATACTTTCACTGGTAGGAAGGATGGAGGAGATGAGGTCGATTCGGAAACCATTAAATGGAAAAAACCACCCATTGGTTTCCTCAAATGTAATGTCGGATCTTCGTGGGTGCATNCGTGACCTTCGTCATCAATCGTACATTGCCCGTAACGCTCCGGTGTGGCTTCATCACCTACTCGCGCTGGAGGCTCAACAATGAGGTTTTGGTGAGATCCCTAACATTTTGTTTGGTGTCTATTGACATCCTATTGTATCTCAGTTATTACTTTTTCTATCTTGTTGAACTCTTAAATTAAATCAGTGTTATAAAAAAAGATTATTAGTTGAAATTTTATCATCTGTTTCTTTTGAAGGATTAATCCGATTCAAATCATTTTTGTAGAAGCTATATTTCAGTTCAAACTGAGTTTAGAAAGAGCAAAAACAAAACATAGTCAGATTGGTCTATCATGTCGACTGGCGGCTATTTATTCCATTAGTCTATAATACGTGTGGTGCAAGTATCAAGTATACTAAACCATTGAAATGGATTTTTCTTTGGGGTATCAAGTAAGATATTGCATTTGGCAAATCATAAGAAAAGAAAGAAGCGAGATCTAATACCTAATTTTCTTGTTTTGAAAAGAGATATTTGAGTTCTTAGACTAGTCCACATTGGCAAGAACAAGATCTAATACCTAATTTTCTTGTTTATTGGCAAGAATAAGACTAAAAGTCAGCAAACTCCTACATAAATCCTGAAAAGCAAATGACCAAACTACCCAACATCTATCTATATAAACCTCACAAACTCTTCCTTCTCATTCACAAACAACAACCAAAAACATGGCTCTCACTAAAATCTCCTTAGTACTTCTTCTCTGCCTCTTAGGTTTATATTCTGAAACAGTCAAGTCTCAGAACTGTGGTTGTGCCCCGGGTCTATGTTGCAGCCAGTACGGTTATTGCGGTACTGGAGACGCCTTCTGTGGTCAAGGTTGTCGATCAGGTTGCACTAGTACCCAAGGCGATAGTCTTGGCACCATTGTGTCACCAGCTTTCTTTAACAATATTATCAACCGAGCTGATAATAGCTGTGCCGGGAAAAGATTCTACACACATGATTCTTTCATTAGTGCCGCTAACACTTTCCCTGACTTTGCTAACTCCGTTACTAGGCGTGAAATTGCTACTATGTTTGCTCATTTCACCCAGGAAGTTGGATGTAAGTATTAACTTTTTTTTCATTTCTCTATAATATATAATTAACAAATGTCGTTTGAACATTTTAAATCGCTTTTATAATTTAGATAATTGGAATTTAATGATATATGACTACAATCATGTGAAAACATATAATAGGACTAACATTTCGATAAAATTATATAAATAAAAACTGAACATATATATGACTTGATCTCAATTAATTTGAGAGCTGTCTTATAACACTTTGTTTCATGTGTCCATCTCCATGTCGTATAGATTTCTGCTACATAGAAGAGATAAACGGAGCGTCAGGAGACTACTGCGACGAAGACAATTACCCACAATACCCATGTGCACCAGGTAAATTTTACTTTGGTCGGGGTCCAATTCAACTATCGTGGAACTACAACTACGCGTCGTGTGGACAGAGTCTCGGTCTCGACCTTCTACGTCAGCCCGAGCTTGTAAGCAGCGATCCAACTCTAGCTTTCAGGACAGCTTTGTGGTTTTGGATGAATAGTGTAAGGCCAGTACTGAACCAAGGATTTGGAGCCACCATTAGGGCCATCAATGGAAACGTAGAGTGTGATGGTAAGCTTCCAGATAAGGTTAACGCAAGGATTAACTACTACAGAGAGTACTGTGGGCAGCTTGGTGTGGACCCTGGTCCTAACCTTAGCTGCTAAAAAAAGCGCTCTAAATGATTGTTGTTGGACGTTATTGTTTATGCTGAAATAAATAAATGAGATGATAAAGTTAAATCTCATGCATGTACTTTTGTGTTGGGTTTCAGTGTTTCCTGATCCACAAGCAAAATATTGTTGTAATAAATCTTATGAAAGTGAGTTTTACATTAATAAAGTTGCAAAAAAAAAAAAAAAAACTAGTACTGGAATAGAACGACTTTGAGGTTCATTAGATATTCGTTGAATTTTACTTTTAATCAAAACTGCCCACACACATATATATATACAATTATACATTAAGGACTTGGGGAGAATAGTCAATCACCCATCGACCAATATCGTACTTATGCCTTGTTGGCGAGGTAATAAGCACGAACGTTCAGTAGACTTTTTGTAAAGGTAACAAGAGAAGTAGTCTCGCATAATTTGTTAGACTGAAGAAGCAATCTTTTTTTTTTTTTTTTTTTTTTTTTTTTGAGAAAGAGAAACTAAGTTATACGATATATCTTGTTGAGAAACCTCAATTTATACATTTGATTATTAAGGAGGATAACTTTTGTTTGAAAGATGTTTCGATGAACTTTATAATGAGATGAATGTGCATTGAATAGAAATGGACCCGACGGTTTAACATGGTAGTAGTACCAAGGTTTATGTACCCCTTCTTAGGGCCGGCTTTAGATAATTCCAGTACGAGAGGTGAGAGCTATGGCCACCAACAATACAAGATTATAAATTATAATTACTTAATATCTGATCATCGAGTTCTTTTGAAAGACAACATATTCAAATAATTTTTTGTACAAACTAAATTCGGTTGAAATTAACTGAGTTCTAGCAGAAGAAACAACGAAACCTTCTTGGAGTTGTTTATGTTGACACACGGCTCTTGGAGTCAGTACATACGTATGATACAAAAGTCAGGTAATAAACCATTAAAAACAGTTGTATTTGCTATGTTTCATCACCGAGTATATCAGAATAAGATACAATTGTATTTCTTAAATCCTTAGAATAGAAAGAAGTGTAATATTTTGAAGAAAAAAAAATAGTAATTCCTAGACCAATTCTACATTGTGTATAGACACGAACAAGCATATATATACTAAAAGTCATCAAAACAATTTTTAAATATAACCATCACATAAAGAGAAAAAAAAAACATTTAATTCCACACAATCGAAAACCAAATGTCCAGACAACCTAACAGCTATCTCTATATATATTCCACCTTGCAACCTCTTCCTTCTCATATCCACAAAACATGGCTCTTACTAAAACATGCTTAGTCCTTCTTCTCTGCCTGGGTTTCTATTCTGAAACCATTAAGTCTCAGAACTGCGGTTGTGCCCCAACCCTATGTTGTAGTCAGTACGGTTATTGCGGTACTGGAACAGCCTACTGTGGTCCAGGTTGCCGATCAGGTCCTTGCACTGGCACCCAAGGCGATAGTCTTGGCACCATTGTTTCACAAGCTTTCTTTGATGGTATTATCAGTCGAGCTGATAATACCTGCGCAGGAAAAAGATTCTACACACGTGATTCTTTCATTAGCGCCGCTAATACTTTCCCTAGTTTTGTCAATTCCGTTAACAAGCGTGAAATTGCGACTGTGTTTGCTCATTTCGCCCAGGAGGTTGGATGTAAGAATCTTTTCCAAAATACAAATACATATATGCTGAGGTTAATTAGTTATTAATATATGTATTTTTCTGAGTTCAAACACCAAAAGCATATAAACACTTGTATGTAATAATAACATAACAAATGATAGCGAATTGGTGTGTTAACCTCAGTACTTAAAATTTACGAATGATTTATGATTACAGTATAATAAACACGCTAAGTGTACAAAAATTTATGGTATATACCTTTCGTATTTATATATATGTGAAAATGTAATATTTGACTTAATTCTCATGTGTCCATTTCTATATGACTATACCGTATATATTTTTGCTACATAGAAGAGATAGAGGGAGTATCACGAAACTATTGTGACGACAAGAATTTCCCACAATATCCATGTGCACCGGGAAAAACCTACTACGGTCGTGGTCCAATTCAACTATCATGGAACTACAACTACGCACCCTGTGGGCAGAGTCTCGGTCTCGACCTTCTACGCCAGCCCGAGCTCGTAGGTAGCAATCCTACTGTAGCTTTCAGGACAGCTTTGTGGTTCTGGGTGAATAACGTAAGGCCGGTACTGAGCCAAGGATTTGGAGCCACCATTAGAGCCATCAACGGAAAATTAGAGTGTGACGGTGCAAACACAGAGAAGGTTAATTCAAGGATCAGGTACTATAGAGAGTATTGTGCTCTGCTTGGTGTTGACCCTGGTCCTAACCTTAGCTGCTAAAAACACTTTGAAGAATCTATTGTTGTACGTACGCTTGTGTGTGTTATGGTGAAATAATAAGTGAGATGATAAAAGTAAATCTCATGCATGTAATAATATTGTGAAACTAAATCATGCATTAATAAATGTATGATGTTGCAAAAAAACTAGCACAATCATATATAGTTTGGTTACTAAAATGAACGTAGTACAAATTGAAGTAAAGCTAAAACACCCTAATGTATAGCACACGACAATATTGTACTTTATAGTGTGATTTGATTCATATACAATTTGCAAAATGACTATCTACATCGTGTTAGTGATTAATCGCAGTCTTATTAGATTTTATTACCATTTGCTGATATACAGTATAGTATATGACGAGGGTTAGAAGAGCTATCATACCGCAAACCAGATCAAGTTGCATTGGGACCCTTTATATACTAATCTATGTATGTGTCATGTTCGTTTACCTCATCTGAGATTGCTTTGACCAAATAAATCGAAAAGTCAATTCTAGTTCTAAAGAAAACGAATATGGAGGTTGATACCCTCTTTTCTTTATTCTTGTTAAATGAAATCAAATTATTTGTTTTTATTGAAGATATAGAAAACCTCAGTTTCAATATATATCTCAAAAAGGATAATTATTTATTTGATTTATTTATTCGATTTATTTATTCCTGTCAACAACATTTAAGATGCGGGTTTAAAACTTAGACGATGAGACAATAATCTCAAAAGGGGAAAGCAAGTAGCTGGATCAATGATCATCTTTAGTCTCAAGTTTCTGCTGTCCAGATCAGTTAAAACTTAAAAGAAGGTAAATAGATGAAACAGTCATTAAAAGGCTCAGAAGATATAGCGTTGCATTTTTCGGAAAGCCCATCAAAAGGCCCAGTAGATATAACATCGCAATCTTTAAAGAAGCCCATTAAAAGTAATGAAATCAGGGTTTCTCCTACTCCCGTCTCAACATATATATACGCTAACTAACAGACCAAACATATTGTGTTCTGTCTCATTGTTTATGGTTCTTATAGGTTTTCTCATCTTCTTCGTATTTGGTTTTAGCTTTGGCTTTTGATTCGCGTCTTCGGAATTTTTTTAAAATCAGCTGTGATGAAAAAACTCGTGTGCCAGAGATGAAAAATCGCTGACGGCTAAACACAACCCTCTAAGAAGTTCTGAGCTATTTTCTAGATCTTTATTTTTGTTTTTATTGTTTGCTTTGAAATTCTTATGAGTCGAGGTGACGATAGAAAATTCACAAGTCTGTCAATCCCCTGAAATATATTGTGATGTTATTGTGATATCTCGACAGGTTCTGATCGCCTCATAAGAAAAACAATTATTTTTAAATTTTTCGTATTCTTTTTATTTTAAATGGTATTGTTTTTATTGTATCTGGTGATATGATGAATCTCATATAACAAATGGGTAATTTGCGACTGATTATATATTGATGTTTATTCACCTTGGAGAACTGATTCCCAGATTCAAAGTTTTTAATATTTTTATATCTTTTGGACTGGGCATGTGATGAAAGTATATTTCATGGGTAATTTGCGTCTGAATCTTCTTGATGCTATCTTTATGATACACTGATGCCTCTTTTAACTAATTTATTTTACTTACTCAAAAGAATCAGCATTTTTTGAGGGAAAAGCGATGATTATGATGATGATGATAACATAGAACAATCCAACTCTGACCAATTCTGATGAATTTTACATCATGCACTACCATCTGAATCTCGCTCTCCCTTTATACCTTTTATAAATGTTTTGTTTAAACTTTTTTTTTTGGTGATGATAAATGTTTTATTGTGCAATTTACAAGTTCAATTCTATTTGTTTAGAGCTTATTTCTTTTTGTGTTTATTCTTTGTTCTTACAAATTGATGACAGATGAAATCCCGGACAAATCCACCAAAGATCATCAATCACAAGTATTGAAGCAGAGGCAGAGATTTGAAGTTCGTAGTGTTTTATTAGGACAAACATACCATAAATTTATTGAATAAACACGGACTTTGTTTTGTATTAACTAATACATTATATGTAAACTCTTTAAAATTAAAAGAAGTCTATTCATCATCATTGATACTGTTTACAAGAGTTATTTTCATTGCAGGTCACATTGTATCTTTTTATTACACGTGAGAGCACATTGTGCTACTGAGGCACTTTTCAGAAGTTAAAGACTTATTTATCCTCTAAAAAGTGAAACCAAAGAGGATATTGCAGTAATTGGGTAATTCTTTCTAATTGGGTTGGTTAGCTATTTATTTATTTTTTTAAATAGGGTTTAGGTTGGTGGACGTGAAACGTAGGTGAAATTGATTAACACGAGCCGGGGGAAAAAATAATTCTCGTCAGATTTTTTTTTCTTCAGCAACAATAAAAAACAGAGAAAACATGAAGAAGATAATTTCCGACAAAAGATATTGTAACGGTGGAGACTGTGATGTTGTAAAAGAGGAGAGATTTAAAGGGAAAAAAAGGTTAGATCCATTTATTGTTTACATCTCGATTGTTTTGGGTATTGCTCAACTTATCACATAGATAAACTTCAAAATTTAAAACTTCACCTAAATCATTTATACAACTCTTCTATAATATAGTGTCCACATGAACACCAAAAATTATGGACACCCACAATTTTTATGTACATCGACAAATGTAAGTCATATATTTGATATAGGCATAAATTAATTAATTAAAGATTAGTTTTTATTTTTTGTTCAGAGAGATTGAAAAATGTATATAACATTAGTTTAGTTATAAAAATATCGATGGATACTTCAGTATCAACTACTGATGCTAGTTCTCTCATGTAATGATGTAACATGTATATTTTTAAGCAAAAGAAAAGTAAATCACCTGTGAAAATATCACAAACATATTAGTAAGATTTTACAAAATGCAAAAAAGAAATGAAACTATAACTTTAAAAGTTATATGTTGTGTACACTATACATTATACATAAAATTTTCATTATCCACATGTACAATAATTTATATGTACATTAATTAACTTGTACAATAATACATGAACATCAGATAATTATGTACATGTGGATATTGATAGTTTGATGTCCATGTGGACAATAGATCTCAGTGGACACATAGATTATATAATGGTGAGGGATGATTGGTTGTAGATGTTAAACCTTGGATTCATTATATAATGGTGAAACATGATTAGTTATAGAAATAGTTAAAAGGGTATGGATATAGAAGTAAACATTGGAAAACTGTGTTTATGTGAATATTTCTTTGGACAATATCCGTGTGAACAATAGACCTCATGTGGACGTGTACATAATGTTAGTGTACACATGTTAGTGTACACGTGAACGTGTACATAATGTTAGTGTTAGACGACCACATGGACGTATTAGTGTACACATGTTTGTGTACACGAGTACATTAGATAATCATGTGGATGTGTACATAATATTAGTGTACGCACGTACATATTTAAGAGAGAGATTTGTCTTTATAAGTATAAGGACAAGAAAACGTGGTTTACGTGAATAAAAAAAAGGTCTTTGTTGTTGTATATGAAGCTTATTTTAGATTTTGATATCATATGTGTTTACTTCTGACTTTGTCTCCTACAATTATGGATGTACACATGTACAATATTATATATTCATGGTGTACATATATACTTGAATCATGTCTCACTAATAATTCCAAACCCATAAACTCAAGCATATCAAAATGAACAATCTTAATACGTTTTAGTATCAAATGAACAGTCTCATCTTCACATTGTGTGTGTACGATAAAGTATAATAGCGTAAATGTGTACCATAAATAATGGTGAACATGTGTACGTTAAATATGATAGTGTACACATTTTTTTTTATTAATAAAATTACGAAAGTAACCTTGTCTTCTTCCTTGGTCACTGTCGACCAGAAACCCTTATTTTCCATGATTCTTTACATTTTGACTTCTTTTTATGTATTATGTCCAGATCTAATAGATTTCAATCTTAATTCATAGTTTTACATTCAAAAAATTGAACAAATTTCTTTTCTCTAATTGTTGAAGAACCAAATGTGATAGCTCAAAAATTGAGCTCGGTTGAGATATGCCTGCGTTTTCAGAGCAAATTAAAACAGAGGACAACAAGAAAAGCTAGTTGCTCTGATTGAACCAATTTCTTTTATTAACCACAGTGTTGTATACATCACCATTACACTAATATAAAAGATGTAGCTTGACATATCTTAAAAGATAGAAAAAATAATATATATAATGAATAAGTATAATGTTTTTAGAAAGTGTAAACTGAAACATCAAATTTCATTTTACAAAAAAATGCAAAGTTTAGGAGAAGGAAGAAGATGAAGAGAGATACATGGACCCCCTTTGATAAATAAAACAATGTTTATATTCTCTCAAGTTACGTAATTAGTTAGAGTGAAGGGAGAGAAAATGAACTTAGTTTACAAAAAGTGTCTTAGGAGTGGAAAGTGCTCTATTGTGAAATAAAAAACATAAAACTGTCTCTGGATGTAATTATTTCTGTTTACAATGAGGAGAACTTCAATCATAGAAGTAAATTTATGACTACTACATAAACTGGTAGTAATTTCGAGCTAGAATAGTTTTAAACTGGTAGTAATTTTGAGTTAGTTGTGGACTTATTTTGAAATTATGATTAATTAATTAATTAAAGAATTTGATGGTGTGCAAGTAACTAATCAGTGTTAAATCCTTCTTTCATACATTAACAAACCTACAATTCTCCCTGATTTCACCTTCAATACCTGTAAGAACATTAATATTACCCATTTTCAACATAGATTCCACAAAATCTACAAAGAAGAGTTCTTGATCCACTGCATATTCCCAAACCTTCTTGAAAATCTCTCCTTCATGATCCTCACTAACCAAAACATTATCCGAAATCAACAACCCTCTCCCCTTCAAAAGATTAATGTAATAATGGTTATCAAAGTAAGCCGGAGTCTGCAAATCCAACGGTGACAGTTCATTGTCCCGGCTAGAGTCTTTGCACTGCGACCGTAGGATTCGCCTGAACGTGCTGTGTCTCTTGAACTCATCTACATAGAATGTTTGCAACATGTTTGGTTGAACTATGCGTTGCTTGAAGCTCAAGCATCTCGCTTTACCTATTGTATGAGCGCCTGAAAGAGCTACGAGGTCTTGAATGTTAAGGCCTTGTTGCTTGAAGTTTATGATGAGGCCTTCGAGGGAAGTGTTTGGTGCCGGAATGAATTGGTTTGCGCCGGAGAAGCTTGCCTTTAATGAGTCTCTTCTCCCTAGGTAAACTTCCCACCATGGTCCACCTCTCTGAAAATACACCAACATTTTTCGTTTTAGGGTTTGACACCTAGGTTTCTATTTAATCTGAAACACCAATGAGGAAGAGTAAATTACCAGAAAGACGGAGTCACGAGCTGCCATGGCGATGATGTCCGAACAAGAAACGGTTAAAGGACAAGCTTCTTCAAGGAGATACTTTATGTAATCAATAACTTCAAACCCACGCAAAGAGTTCACGTTGGGTGTTGCTTGTTTCTCACTCAATATATCTCCATGTGTATCCAAGAGCACAGACGCATCACAACCCTAAAATCAATCAATCATACGACATAATAAACCAATCTTATCCCTGTTATACACAACATTAATTAACATACAAGTTAGGGTAAGATCAGAGAGTTATGTCTAACCAAGACAAAGCAGTCGTGGAACTGAAGACGGAGAAGAGAAGCTGCCATACGAGGATCTTTGAGAACAGCAACCTCAACGTTATGCTTGACGATTTCTTCAGCTAATGGGCAGCTCTCTTTGTAGAAACCCTTCACTAATGGTCCTCCAAATTCTCCCAAAGCTGAGGCTGTAATAGCAGAAACCACGATAAAAGAGACCCATAGCTTCTTGAGCTTGATCTCCATTGTAAAAGTATGTCCTGTTTATGTGTTTCTTCTCTGTATCTTTTTGTGTGTATATATGTGTGCTTCGTGCTTCAATATTCCTTGTTATGTTACCATGTGTCTTTTTGTGTGTTTTCATGCCCAACTTTTATTAAATTGGATGTTACAGTATTGTCAAAGGTTGATACAACCAATAGAGACCTAACTTGCCTTGTGGGATAAAAAAAATATAAAATATGATGTTGGTCACAAAGGGTACGTGAAACAAATCACTTTTTAAGATATAAAATGACGTTAGCAAAGTAAAAAGTTGGTGTGACAATGTTTGTTTGAAGATTTCAAAGTTTTTTTTTGTATATACTCTGGTGTACAAAATATGTTTTGTGATATAAAAATTCCAACGAACCATAGATTCATCAGTGTGTTGATTATGAAAATATAAATACTGATATACTTTAAAAAGATTTTTTTTTTAATATCTGGAACATTGAAGTAGATACGTTGTCAAAAAAAAAAAAAAAAAGAAGTAGATAAAAACCCTCCTAGTGAGCAGCATCTTCTTCCTCACAGAACTTGGTGTATTCCTTTGAACCCATCAAAGATTCTAACTCTGAGGGGTTGCTTGGCTTCACTTTGATCATCCATCCATCTTCATAAGGGCTTGAGTTGATCTACACAACACACAGATAGTAATCAGTTTGCTTTACATGTTGTCATCAACTGAGAGGTAAACTTAGTACTTTCTTTCCGTTTAAACCGTTACCAAGCCTGGTGCTTCTGTTAGCTTCTTGTTAACTTCAATGACTTCACCTGAGATTGGTGATAAGATCTCACTTGTCGCCTTCACACTCTCCACTGCTCCAAAGCTTTTCTCTTTGCTCACTGAACCATTTTCCTCTGGTAGTTCCACAAACACAACTTCACCTAAATGGTCCTGAAACGTCAATGTCAATCATCTATACAACATTCTCCAAAGAGCTAAAATCTTTTAAGTTAACACCTAAAGTTCACTTGGAAGCGAAATTATTACAAGAAAAAAAAAAGCCAAAAGGTGTAGCCAATGTTACCTGAGCATGGTCAGTGATGCCAATAGTGGCAACAGAGCCTTCATGCTTAACCCACTCATGTGAATTTGCATACTTCAATCCATCCAACACTAATAAAAACAATGGAACCTATCAAAAACTTGTGACAGAAGCTATACACACAATCACAATCACAATCACAATCACCTGAGGAGAAGCATCTGGAGATGGAGAAAGCTGGAGAGAGCTGAGACTTGGAGACAGAAGAAGAAAGCTTGAGAGCATTTGCTGTAGAAGAAGCCCACATTCTCAGTGACATATTTGTTTTTGTTTCTCACTTTTTTGTGTGCGTGTTCTATCTATGACATGTAAGGCAGAAATTGAAGGCCTCATCCTATGCCTCTGGTGCGTATGAAAAGTGTGACACAGTCCCCCAAACCTTCTCTACTACTCAGAAGCTCTTGCAACTACTTTTTTTTTAGTTCCTTTTTTTAAGTTTGGGACTCTTACAAAAACTATGGTTCTTTTTTAATAAGTGGCTAATTCCTGCATACTAGGTGCAATTAAAATGCCCATATCTAACTTTCTTGTCTTCCTTACTCTACGTTGGCGTTTAAGCCTAGTGAGTACTGATTAACTATAAGACCGCCATAATGCTGTTTCCTACATAATCTAGTTAGTATCTTTGAAAGTTTAGTCATCAATGTCAACATATATCTTTAAAGCCAAGACAGTTGTATCGTTTTAAGACCTTAGGTTAGGAACTTAGGGTGATGGCCATTCTCCCATAACGCTAGCAAAACAGCGTCCTCAAAACTCTATTTAAAGGTCTTATCTATCTCTCGTTTTCTGAAAAATCCATGAGTAAGACAAAAAGTGATTAGAATCTTGATTCATCTTTTCAGCAATCTCTTTTCCATTTAACTTCGTTCTAATGGTTCCACTCCAAAATAAAATTATATGCTCCTGATGGAATTGAAATCAAAGGAAAATGGGAAATACTGCTGATCAGAAGAATCACACGAGATTCTCTGCCATCTCCTCAAGTGCTGAGTTGTATCGAAGTTTTGGTCTTTTGTGTGTACTTCAACAAAACCAAATACAAAAGGACAGACCAAATATGCGTTTGCCGGTGGTGGCAGCGATGCTTTAAGACCAAACACATCAGATGAAACATTTTATGACTGATTGTTCTTGGATCATAGCTACCACCACCGACAAATAACATATTTGGTTGCGATGCGTCTGTGTATTACAACTCCCACAACGTAAACATTTCGGGGTTAAAGTAGAATTAATTAAAACTATCAGGCGGATATGCAATATTAAAAAACAAAACTCAAATCGGATTCTCCGTCATCATCGGAAGAAGTAAAACTCAGTGAGAAGTGAGAGAACACACAAACTCTGTTTTTTCTTTCAATCAAACAATCCCCAATTCGAAACCCTAACCATCAATTTCTCGTTGATTCGCTAAATTCAATCGAAGAAATGAGCAAAGACGATGGCACTGTCGAGATCACTCACAAAACCATCGGCCCATCTCGTCCCTCCCGGATTCGAGTGGCGTCTCGTATCAAAGTAAGCAACTTTCTCATTCTTCCCTCTGTATCTCGCTATATAAAGGATTGATCTTTTGGCTGATTCTTAGGTTCGTGATTTGAGGAACGCGATTGCGGAAAAGGGTCGGTTCCCCGTCGCGAATTTGAGGATGATTCTCCGTGGGAAGGCATTGCAAGACGAGGAAGATGGAGAAGACGTGTACGTCACGCTCAAGGACGAAGGTATTGAAAGGTTAAGACTTTTGTGTGTGTGTGTATGTGTGTGTCTTGAATTGGGTTTTTTGATTGTGCATTTGGGTTTTATTTGTGTAGATTCTTTGACTGTTGCTGTAGTTCCAAAACGACCAGTTGGAGTTGAGACATTCGATGATGATGATGACGAGGATGAATTGGTCTGGTTTTTTAACTCTTGTAAGAATGTTTTGTTTTTAGTTTTTTTTTTGTAATCTCTTTTAGTTGTTTTTGGCTTTGTAGAAGTTTAAGCTCCCACCATCAGCAAGCAGGTGGAAGAGGAAGCTTTACTACTTTCTTCGTAACAAGTTGAAGCTTCCCGGTGAGTTTTTTAGCCTTTCGAATAATGTTTGAAATTTTTGTTTACTGATGTGATGTTGTGTTGTGTGATGATCTTAGATATCATTCTTATGGGACTCTTCTCTTTAAGTCTAAAGATGTGGGTTATTATCACATTGTGGTTTATCTTGGCGCCTATTGCCCATCGCTGGGAACTAGGCCCTATATTTGTAAGTCTTCTTCATCTTCAGTGTTTCGATTCCTTGAAAGGTCTCATGTTTTTTTGCAATGCGATTGGATATGCATCTTGTGTGCGTAGATATTATATGATTTAATCACTTGGCTCAGATGTTTTATTTCCTTTGCTTGGTTTCTTGGTTTTCATTGGTTTCAGTTACTAGGGACTGGCTTTTCAATCATCTTGCTCAACCTTGGTAAACGACAACCTGGTGATGTCAGGTATACACATTTCTGAAAAACCTTTAGCCTACGTTGATCTTCATGAGATTACAATTGATTAGGAGTGTGGTTTTCATATGACTCTGGTTAATGTTTACTGCAATCCAGATACCAATTTTTTTAAAAGAAAAAATTGGAAACTCTTGGTTATTTGAGGAAACATACATACTTCGTAAACATCCTTGGTAACATGGACATAAGGAATATAACAAAAGTATAGGATTCTAGAAGCTTATGATACTTCAAGTAGTCTTATTAGCTGGAAAGTGGGATCCTCGTATATTGTCTTATTAGTTCGGTGTCTTTCTTTCACAGTGCATATTCCATATTCAACGAGGACTTTAGAGAGCTTCCAGGTACATATAATGCAGAGCGTATAGACCGGGACATACGAGCAGGCCATATATGATGCAAAATAACATCAACGGCATTGCTTGATTGAGGTTGACATCAACGGTGGAACAGAACTTATAGATAGCCAATATGCAACCAAAAGAAAAAGATCAGATGTTTTTGTCCCATCAGACTGAGACAATACAAAAAGCATAACAGTACTTGTACATGAGATCTAATCTTGATATTGAAAGAATGTAATGCCCTAATAATCCGTTTGCGAGTAACATTTTGAAAAAAAAACATTGATAGTTCAGTTGTCTTCACTCTTTACCATATAACTTTTGAATGATTCTATTTCTAAGACTTATGGGAAGAAAAACATATATAAACAAATCTTACTATTGTACATAATACATTTTTCACTATGGAACCCATGTTGGAGGAGTAACACAATGCTTCCATCCACGGGCCCAAATATGTTTAGTGGACCTTCTAAAGATCTCAATCAATTAATTAGAAGGTGGTAATAAGGCAAATGAAAAAAAAAAACAGTATCTCAAAACTTTATCTGAGTTTCATCGACTTGAGAATCTAATCAAAATCGCCTCTCATTAAAGTGTTTCCATATGCCTTCCAAAAGCCACCATCACTCACCTAAAAACTCCACTGATTAGAAGATCTCACCGCCGTAAAAAATCATCACTATCATCATCATCCTCCTCCTCTTCACCATCATCAAAACCCATCTCATCCTCATCCGACGACAACGGAATCAACCAGCACGTGCCATGCAAGTGCCCATTAACGCAAACGTAAAACTCCAACCCACCATCCCTCGACCCCAACCTCCTCGCAGCACTCTTGGGAACCAAACGCGCCGCCTTCATACTCCAAACGCGTCCTCCACAATACGGACACCTAACCTTCTCCTCCAACTCCGCCTGTCTCCTGACAAGACACTGCCTCGTCTTCGACCTCATAAATTCCCGAAATACCCCTCTAAAAACCCCCAGATGCTCGTCCCCGCCGCCTCCCACCGCCTGGTGCTCGCACGGGTCGCTGACGTACAGCAAGTCTCCCCGGCAGTTCTTCGGGAGGAAAAACCTCCCGGAGGTCTTGGAGAATCTCGACTCGGACAGGAAGTGACCCGGCGACCGAGTCGACTCACCTCCGCCGCAGAAAAACATCAGTTTCGCCAGCGCCTGCCATCCGCCGTCGATTCTCCCGCTCGGATCGGATCCGGACAATGCCGCCGCCATCCCCGGCGCGCGGTGGACGCAGAGGGAGCGCCAGAGGACGCGTCTCGCGATGGCGCAGAATCTCCGGCTCACGGAGGCGACGGCGCAGATGGTGTGGATGTCCCAGCTGATCGACTCGAAGACGAGAGTCAACACCTGCTCGTTCTCTATCCCCGAGTCGGTGAAACTCGGTAGGCGACTCGGTTGTTTGAATCGGAGCGAGTTCATTACGGGGAGACGAGAATCTTTCCTTCTAGAAATAATCATTCACTTTTTTTTTTTTTTACTTACACGCAGCGTCGCGATCTAACGAATTTATACACAATTTGGTACGGTGCTCAAGGGTGATACACGTGGCTTCTTGTCTGAACGAGGAGATTCTGTGATGCTCCCGGTATTAAATGTGTCGAGATGCGATTGGTTGAGGGGACGCGTGTCATTTAGCGATTGCGTGCACGCTGCGAGAATAGAGAATCAAAGGGTATATGGTAGTACAAAAAGGAAGATAACAAAGGCCACGTGTTGAGACGCAAACGCGGCATCGAAACGTTATTTTCTAAATGTTTTTAAAAATATCTAAGGAGGAGGAGACACATGTCTCAAGACGGAGACTTTGTTTGGTACGGAGAAACGTGGCAGCTCTAAACTAGATACGACGAAGTAGTTTATAACTGTGAGAGACACAAGAAAACATTCAAAAAGTCAATCAAATCCAGTCCTGGTCTAGTTTTTTCGAGATCTTTGCTTATTTTTTTCGTAAACTTAAAACCCAAAATATAAAAAAAATAAACTATGTTGGTGTGACCGGTCTGCAGTGCTATGTACAGTTGGACTATCTTTCAAATGTAAGAATCTTTGCAGAGATAACATTTTTCTCCTGGAAATCATCTTCTATTTACTCCCTCCGTTTCATAATAAGTGTCGTTGTAGAGAAAAATTTTCGTCACAAAATAAGTGTCGTTTTCGGTTTTCAAGGCAAAATTTATTAACTTTATTATGAAATTTATTTTTCTATTGATTGAAATATGGTTAGGTGTATGGGTAATTGTGTTTTTATATAGAAAATATGCAAAATTAATTGTTTTCTTAATCCGTGTGCACGAGCTTAGAGTGACACTTATTTTAAAACAGAGGGAGTATGTTTCTAGCAAAGTCAGTAGTTGCATTTGATTCTACGTAACAGTGTTTCTGCTTATAAATTGTTTAAAATTTCTCGACTAAGAACTGATTCCAAAACTTCGGTCCACTGTTCTTTTTCTCATTTTAAGTCCCAAATCAAATCACACTACAGAGAAGGTATGCTTTTAGGATGAAATGGATTATTTGAAACATAAAGAGCCTTTCAAACATTCTTAAAAAAAAAACGAAATACTTCTTTATAATTTATCAGTTAAAAAAAGGAATGGTGTTTCAGCGTTTGGGTGAAGATCGTTTTAATTTTGTTTACTTATTTGTGAATCCTGGGAAGATCAATAAACCAGGTAACATCTTCTAACAAAAGAGAAATGTTTATGTAAAGAGTTAAGAACACATAATTAACATTCAAAAACCGTCTACTTCAAGCCACAGTTAAATTTCAATGAGACAATATGAAGTAGAGAGCTTCATGAGTTTCAAGTTAAAGTATTTGGACTACGAAGACACTCCAAAGACACGGATTCTCTGCTGAACTGGAGCTCTGCAACAAGGACAAGTAGCTTTGCCACCTCCCATGAAGCTATCGCTGCAATTCCCGCAGACAACTTGATGAGCACAAGGGAGAAACACAACCGAAACCTCATCTCTCATGCAGATAAGACATTCCCGGTCATAGGTTTCTTCTTTCTCATATAACCCATCAAGCCTCTCCAGCTCTTCAAGCAGTGTACACATTACTTCTCCCTTCAACTTATCTGATTTTCCATTTGTGTGGCAGTTGTCACTGGATTGGAGGCTTGAGTCAGAGGAAGAGATCTTGTTGAGCCGAGACAGCTCTTGTTCCAGTCTCTGGAGATCGTCTTTATGTCTCTGAAAGTCTATTTCGATCTTCAACCGCAAGCTTTCAACCTTTCCCTTGTTTCTAACCTCGGTTGCTTCCTTGAACCGTTGTTCTTCTTCCACTTGAGCTAACACCTGCTCCTTTGCTTTCTTCTCTTCCCTCCATTTCTCCTGCAAATAGATATTAACAAGATGAAAAAAAAAAAATGAAAATAGACAAAACCTCCTATGCATCATATATGATCCACCTAGCAGCATATAGAGAAAGAGGCTGCCTCTGAGAAAAGTAGATAATACATTTCTTGGTACCTCGTATTCTTTTTCCTCATGAGTGATCTCTGCTAAAGCCATATTGAGTGTCTTAATCTTTTCTTTCTCAGCTTCAATCTCGTCTTCCAACTTCAGTTTCTGCTTCTCCCACATTACAAGCTTCTTCAAGCCTTTCTTCTCCTTCTTCGTTGCCTCCAGCGACTCTGATGCACTCAACTTAGAAGCTTCCATTTCAGCCCGGATCACTGCATTCTCGTTCTCAAGTGTCCTCGCCATCATATTAGTCTTGTCAATATGACTACTCACTTTCCTAAGATCATTCTCCATGTCTGATATTCTTTTCACAGTTGACTCCTCATGAGTTTGTTTCCACTTCTTCAACCGTAAGGTCTCTTCTCTCTCACTCCTCAACGACTGAAGCTCGGCTAGTTCATCACTGACCTTTGCTGCAGCTTGCATCGCCTTCTTCTCAGCCCATTCTCTCCTATCATTCACTTGCCTCTTGAGTTCCTGAACCTGACGCAACAATCCTAACAAAGCAACATCCTTATCCTTCTCAGGTGCTGTATCAACACTCTCATCAAGGTTCAGATCCTGGAACTTCTCCATAACTGAACTCACACTTCCAGAGCTACATGTCGTCTGCTCATTAGTCTCAGACTGCTTCATACTACTAGCACGAAACCCAGCGGCGAAAGCAGCAACATTCTCTCTCAATAAAGACTTCATAGAAGGAGTGAGATTAAACCTCCTCCTCGGACAATCATCAACCTCTCTCTGCAATCTCAAATCAGTACCTCTCATTGGTATATCCATCATACTCGCCTTCCCAACGTGAAGCTCACTCACAAGCAAACACCACAACGCATCACCTCTACTCAAACGAGGCTTAACTTGTTGCAACAAATAAACCATACCAGCAAGAGAATACTCAACCAACTGTCTCAAATCAGTGAACACAGTCTCCTCTAAACCATCCTCAATCCCACCCTCCTTATTATTACTTAGATGAGCCAACGCATTATGCATAATGTTGGTTAAAACATCCACCCCACCATAACAATAACCATTACTCAAAACAGCTCTCAAGGCTACATCCTCGTCGTAACCTAAAACCACAAGCTTTGAAACCGCTTCGTTGTAAAAACACTCCAAATGTTTCAGGAGTAGATCCTCTAGCTGCTCCTCAGTACAGTAACCCAAACCATTCTCCTCGAAGTTTCCGCTAGGGTTTGCATCAACAAGACTTGGGTGATAAACAAGATGTTTGAGACTTGATAAAGATGCCTTGTCGAGGAGACAAGAAGAGGGATCGAATTGGGGTTTCTTGGATCGGGTCTTTCGGTTTGGTCTAACGTGCTTCGTCCTCACAGTACAGCCCATTAGATTATGATATGTTTGTCTTTCTATGTATTTACGAGAATCTGGAGGAAAAGAGATTGAGAGAATGAAGATCACTGAATCGCTAAACTAAAACAGGATCAGGAGAGAGTGAAGGATTAAATTGAAAGAACAAGTGTAGATGAAACTTACTGATCGGCGATGGTTGTATTTCTCAACAGAGACGACAAAACTTCGGTCCAGACAAGAAGACAGAAGAGTTCAGTTTCAGGGTGGTGGTGGTGGGTGTTGTGTGTGTCTGTGAGAGAACTATAAATAATATAGGCTAACATTATATTTACATGGGCCTTTAACTGGGCCAGCCGATGATATTCAACATTATATTTATATGGGCCTCTAACTGGGCCAAGCGCTAAATGATATTCCGATGATGTTTTGTTCGAAGTAGGAGAAGATATTGTAAAATGTAAAAGCAAAATGGATAAACTATATTCGTGTAGATAGCTTTTGCATGTGCTTACTTACGCACCGAATCAACGTGCATATGCGTAAGTCGTGACACGTATATGTGTAATAGACGTGGCGGTGACTCACAGTCTCGAATTATCGTACGTCACTAGTCGTTAAATTAGATCGGAGTCCGAATGGCATAAGGCAAACCAAAGCTAAGGGGAAAAAAAAGTGTAGTTCAAGGAGAAGAAGAGAAGAAGATGCATTCGGCTAAGGAAAAGATTAGTGACATGGCCAGCACGGCCAAGGAGAAGCTCAACATAGGAGGCGCAAAGGCACAAGGGCATGCGGAGAAGACTATGGCTAGGACTTCTGAAGAGAAGAAGATGGCTCACGAGCGAGAGAAGTCTAAGGAGGCACAAGCCAAGGCTGAGCTTCACCAGTCCAAGGCTGAGCATGCGGCAGACACTCAGGTTCACGGCCACCATCTTCCTGGACACGGACACACCACCTACCCTAGCCGAACCACTGGCGCTGCTCATTACCCACCGGGACAGATCTAAAACTAGCTATATTATGATTAGCGGTTTAGTTTGCTTTATATAGTATGTATGCTTTTGTGTCTTTCATAATAAAAAGAGCTTGAATTTTCTTGGTTAATTCTGTTTTTTTTTTTCTGGAAATAAAACTTCAAGTAATCTTTAATGTCTATGCGAGTACAACATACAAACTAGATATTAGGTTCCGGTGACATCTAATACACAAGATATATAAATTACAATATAGTCTATGTTTATGTTAGTTTAGTAGATGTAAAAAATTGATTGTGTATTCAGAAAATCGATATTCAGAAACTATATAAACAGTCTTGAAAGTTGACAAAATATATATATGGAAAAAAAACGATGTATCATTTTCGTCAAACAACATTGACCTTTTGGTTCGGATGAAATGCAAAATTGCGTATGTCAAAATGCAAGCGTTATGCTAATTTTGTGTAGATGTATAAAGCGATAGAAGCTCAGAAAATCATATTAATTAGTCGTAACAAAACTATAACCATACATCATTTTCGTTCAAGATTAATACCTTTAGTTAGGTTATAAATGCGAAGTTTGCGTAGACGTGAAGAATTGGTTAGAAAATATCTTGTTATTGGTACGTAGTTACAAGATCATTATATATACGAGCAAAATTGTTTTCTTCCTAAAAACATGTGGATGGAGGAAGAAAGCTTTAGCCTGTGGGTGGGCCGTCTAACTCTTTGACATATAACATCGCAGCAATACTAACCAACCATAGTTAGTCACGTACCAAAGCTAACCGTCTATCTTATAAATGAAACCGCCCTTAATCTAAAACCATTAATTTGTGTTCGTATTGTTTTATAAACTCTCTTTTCTGTTCTTATTACATTATCTCTCGATCAAGATCTGAATCTTTTCTCAGATGGGTTGCTTGATTGCTCCTGTAATGAAACTCCGCAGTCTATCTTCAGCTGGTTCACGGCGGTTTGCATACCGGAATCTGACCGACGAAGATATGGAGGATTCGGTCATAAGAGTGGTGGTAGGCAAGGAGAAGAAGGAGTTCTTGGTCGAACCGTACGTCCTCGAAGAGACACCGTTTAGAGTCTTGATTGGTTCTGCTAAAGATCGTGCCAAGAGACGTTTAAACCGGTCTGGTAGAGTAGTGTGGCTTGATCATGTCGACTCTATCTTGTTCGAGCACTTGCTGTGGCTTCTTCGTAACGATACATCTACATTTTTGGATATTGATGTCGTCGAGATCATTGAGTTCTATGCTCAAGATTGCTAGAGAAATAAATTCTGATGTTGTAACCATTTAGAGGTGTATATTGTGATGCTATAATCGTATTCTGTCTTTTTCAGAGATTTCTTTTTAGTTTGGATTTGTTTGGTTCGAAATATCTGCGACAACTGTGCTATAACGAAGGCCCATTGCATATTTGCTACAGACGTTGTGGCCCATTATGAGTTTTGAGATTAGATAACAATGAACCAACAAAATATTTCTCTTTGAACCAACAAAAACACTAAGCGGTACATGTAGGCTTGGGCGTTCAGATACCTCTTCAGATATGAATACAACTCATTTGGATATGAGTACGATACAGGTGTTGATTTTTCTCAATTTTGAAAAATAGTCCCACTCAGATATTACGAGAAACAGGGTCGAGTTTTGATGTGCCCTTAGGTAGAGCACCATGTAAAACAAACATACATGACTCGATCATATGAAGCATTAAAGATATATGTTAATTGTTTGACTCATATCTTCCAAACCACGAGGCTTCTACACATAAAATCACTTGAATTCAGATCAAACGGAGTTCAGATGTGGAAGTTATGCTATTTACAAATTAGGTGATCTTTAGCTCTCGCGAATTCAGACATTTACACATTCAAGTGTGGACTAACACTTACATATCTGAACTGGAAGAGCCAAGTGAATTAAATAACACTCCTTTGGAGCTGAGTGAGCTAAGTGACACTAAAGATGGAGTTAGTTTAGCTTCTGGGCGAAATGAACATTTTTCAGCCCAAAAAAAAATTCATAACAAATTTAATTTGGGTCGGTTTTACACCAAATTCGACCAGGCCTTTGCTGATAGTCTCCTGCTCATTTGCATCAAGAAATATCAACAAAAAAAGTCAGAGACGTGGTCAGGCAAAGGGTTATTCAAAAACACACTTATTTATGGTTAAAAGTCTTAATCTTTGTTTGTGTTTTCTAAGTTTCTAGTTTTCCACAAAAACTCTTAGTATCCTTTGACCACATTGTACTATAAATAAGGCCTAAGAGCCACAAAATTAATCAGATTGTTTTTCCCTTTTTATGATTTTATCTCTCTTTGTTCTTTGTAACATTTCTTAGTTTCTTGGTGAGGTTATCTCCAAGTTTTGATCCTTCTTTTGTTGGATCAGTGCGTCACATCCGGCAACGATCGAAGTCTGGTAGTATCATTGGGCCATCCGCAACCCTTTGTGTCACCGTTCAATCCACCAGTTCTCCATTTTGGCGAGTTCATATACCTTCAGTCTGGTTGAGTGATCCTTTCCCGATTTATGGCGTATCAAGTTCGAGTCGGGTCATGGTTCCGGGTGGATTCGGATTTTAACCAAAGTAACCAAAAATATTTGATTCTCTTCAAGTATTCTGTATCTAAACTACTGAAATTTATCTAAAAATAACTAAAATTTTAAAACTACTCAGTATATAGGTTCAAATTGGTTATGTTTGTTAGAAAATAACCATAAATATAATATTATTTGAATATTTTGTATCCAAAACATTAATTTCTATCTATAAATATCCAAAAATATTTATAAATATTATTTTTATATATATTTATAATAGTGGATATATTCGGATATTCATTCGGTTCTCCGTATGGATTAGATTCTGTTTCGGTTTTCGAATTTTGAAAAATGGACCTTTTCGGATATTTAAGCTATATCCGATCGGATTCGGTACTCTAATTTTCTGGTAGATTTCGGGTCAGTGCTTCAGTACGGATATTTTTCCCAGCCCTGGATACATGTAGTGTGTCAATCTAATCTAGCTTAATAGGATAACCAGTAGGCATTACATTATTTAAATGACCAAAGAAATATTAGTGGTCAAACATTCGGATGTGATGGTTTGATCAATGGTTCACTAATAATTGTTATGCATATGAAACTATAATTAGCAATTAATATTTTGCAACTTTGTAGACTGTATAGATAAAGATTGACTAGCTTGTTGTAGAATGCTTCTAATTAATATCATTATTTTGTAAAAGTTAGTTAGATACAAAATCCAATGAAGAAAGAGCAAGGATCCATGGTACTTGGTAAACATCACGGCTGTCTCTTCTTTACCCACATTTATAGAATTTTATATAAACACTTTAGTATCTACTAATGTAGATAACATAAGTATACTGTTGACAGTCGATGATATCTACAGTTTACTTTGACGAGTAATATACTACTGTACCATATCACCACCCATGAAAACCAGCAAATGTATATATATCTTGCATTGTGAAGTTCTAACAGTTGTATATTTCTTTGTAATATAGGGAAAGAAAAACAATTTATCCAAATTGTTAGTTCAGCCATTTATAAAAGAGTGTTTTACATTTATAAGTGGAACCATCAATAATGTTATCACATTTTTGTTTCAGGTTTGTAGATGTCACAAGCTGAAATTTTATAAATTTTTAACCACCAAAGCGAACAAAAACAAATCTTTTTTGGGCACCATATTAAGTTTAGAATCCCTAATGCTATTGATTTTAGTCGATGAAACAATATGTTATTGATATTTTCTTTACTCCAAACTATGGGCAGTATTATAGTTTGAGATAATTAGTGTATTGCATTGATTGTTATTGGATTCTATATTTATAAAGAGTTCTAAAAATTTATATTTTGTTATAATTCTACTGTTATTCCATTCAGACTTTCCTAAACTATTTTAATGTGTTGTGATGAACATTTTCGGCTACTTTGCTTTCGATAATTGCGTGTGTGTGCCAGCTTAGCATCAAATGGGTCGCGCACTTAAGGGCATGATAGAAATTGAAATGGTCAGATTTAATTATTTAATTTCTTAATTAGCACTCCACTTGCACTTTCCTTTGTATTTTACTAGCATTACTTTAATACTCTGTCGTTTACTATTTCCCGTCTTTTATTACTTTTTGATGGCCTCAAAACTTTGAAAAGGCGGACAATCTATTCAGCCATGTGTTTGGAAAAACCCTAGCGAGCTAAATGATTGTTATTTTTGTTCCTTTTTAGTTTTGCAATATCCAAAAGCATTGGAATACATACTAATTGATAAATATCGCAACTACATACGTATACCATTGCCCAAGACAACAACTTGGGTTTGAGGGTTATTAGAAAATGTTTAACATCAATTTAAGTTTTAATTGATTGTTCATATGTTCATGATTTTGGTCATAAAATGTAACTAATTAACAAAAGCACTAGTTAATTATAATCTAAGAGGAAACGGTACTGTTTGTGTGTGTGCTGTCAACATAGTTAATATGTGGGTTACAATATGTAGGTTATTGGATATGTTAGTATTATATGAAAGTTTTAGCCGTTAATCATATTGAGTGTTAGTGTTAGCTTGCCACAAAAACTAGATTACTCGAAGCATTTAAACGTGGATAAAAACAATAACCGAAAATTTAAAGAACACCATATATGTATAACGACTCAATACCTCGGATATAATTTAAATGATAAATCATTAACCTAAGCAAAAACTAAAAACCATGTAATGAAGATACATGAAACAATTGTTTTAAGAAAATCATAATTCCATAAATTCCGTGACAAAGAAAAGAGAGAGAGAAAAAAACACAAATTAAAGTTTCTTAAAACGGAGCCCTACCGGCGCCGGCCGAATTCCCCGGCCAGTTCTCACCTCCCATATGAGGCAAACTCATTGGCAAATTGAAGAACGGAAAGCCTCCGCCTCCTCCTCCGCCGCCGTTAGCTTCCGAGTACATATTTCCTCCGCCGCTTGGAACCTGTAACTGCTCCTCATGCTCGTCCAAAGGCAACCTCTCATAAGCCACATTCGTAAAAGACGCCGCCATGACCATCACCGGCCCCGCCGCCATCAACTCCCCAACAACGTTACCTCCGACGACCTGTCCCTGAGCTCCGGCCAGAAATATCGTCAAGTTCGTGGCTCCTGGAGGAGCAGGCGGCGGAAGAAATGATCCAGTGAGGGAAAGAATCTCGAAAGTGCCTCGCAAAGTCACAACAGCTCCGGCCGCCGTCGGCTGACGGATGCTGACGTTAGTGACGGTTCCGGTACCGGAGAGAACGCAAATCCCTCGCTGTCTCCGCCGCGCGTAGGTGGAGATACACTCGAAAACGTCGTAGCCACTTCCGACTTCAAGAATGTGAGCCCTAAGAGTGTTTGCGCTCTCGCGCGTGACGATCATTGGTGGTTTAGGTTTGTTCTTTGATCCAGCTGGACGGCCACGTGGCCGCCTCATAACGAGGTCACCGCTTCCTCCTCCTCCTCCTCCGCTGCTGCCACCGCCTAGTCCAGAGTTGTGATCATTAGAAGCTATCAAATCCAAACTTTGATGATGGTTATGGTTATGGTTATGATGGTGATGGTTTGCTCCGGCTCCACCGTCATCTTCGTGGTGGTTGTCGGTGGAGAACTGGCCAACACCGCCGCCTTCGACGTTGTGAACGTAGCGAGAAGTTGTGCCTAGATCGAGACCAGCCATGCCAATATCAAACTGAGAAAAAAAAAAAAACAAAATATATTTTAAAAGGGACTTGGGATTTTTAAAACGTAATTAGGGATTCTAATGATTTAAGTTTAGATTTAATGTAAGAGATAGCAGACAAGGAGAAAATTTATAAAAAGGTAGAGAAGAAACTATATAGAAACCTGAGAAATGAAATGTTTATGAAAGGGGAGAAATGGGAAGAAGAAGTAGAAGACCAAGTCTTTTCTCTGGAACCAATTGGCCCCAATAGACAATTATTATAAGGTTTTTATTTTATGTGTATGTATATGCAAAAAGATCAATCAAATTCGAGTCCAAGTTACTCATAATTACCTCTTAGTTATTATATTGTCGAGTATGCATAAAGACATTGCGGTTCTAGATTTTGTTAAATGTATATGTTATATTGTAGAATCTGCCATTGTACTAGAGTACTAGTATATGTTTTTTTTTTTTTTTTGGTCAAAAGAGTACTAGTATATGTTTTTCTGGCTTTATATATAAAGCACTGGACATTTGGAGACAACATCGAGATCCCAAGAATGTGAAAATATTTTATTTGACTGATCTTTCACATTAGTATTATATATCGATTAACAAACAATTCATCTCTCTCATTAATTAGACTTTTTTTGCAAATTAGATTTAGACTGGACGTTCTTAGTAAAAATCAGTACATCCTATCCGTGAACGGTGAAACGTTACATAGAGCCATAAACTAATGAAAACGTATACCAAAATCTAATGAAAACATATACAAATGAGTAAATATATGTATAAGATTTAGACAAAGAAAGCATTACGTTGCCATGAAGTATTAAATTTTCAATGATGTTCCATTAGTTTTTCTTTTCTTGGACTGAAAAGATATCCCATTAGTTCTAATTGTCTTTGTACAACCGATTAATTATAATTCGGACACTCTTCCGGCAAACAAATATTTAAGGGAAATTTACTACAATACACACGAATTCAAATAAACTAAATGTTAATGTTTTCTAGCTGTGTTTACTAATAAAATCTTATGCCGCTATGCATCTCCCAGGAAAAACAAGTATTTTGTGTTGTAACATCGAATAGATTAAAACCACCTGGTGGAAGTTTAGTAGTAGGCGAATTGTAAAATTGCTAAATAATCCGGATTTGAAAACTTTCCATTACACTTTTCCTTGTGACTACACAAATATAGATTTAATGATTTTAGTCTATTTGAATGTTGAAAAAAGGTCTATCCGTAAATTATACTTTCACTTGAAAATTATGTATGTGTTTTTAATAGATTTGGATTTAACTTTTTATAAATTAAAAACAAAAACATCAAACAGACGTCGGAATGAGTTCTCTTCTAGTTTAAACTATAGTTAGTTAACTAAGTTGACCAATTAACTATGGTTTTATATTTTCTTTGTCAATGATAAACCAGGGTTAACAACTTAATTTTTTATTATTTTGATTAATTTAAAATAAATTAAGAGGAGGCTCATTAAACAAAATGGAAGCAACGCGGAGATTCATGCGGCCAAGTGACGGGAGCGCAGCGACGCGTGGTTCCACGCCCTTATGAGACTCGCTTGCCCTTTTGGCTAAAACAAACCTCAGTTGTCAAGAAAAATGTTGCGTGCTTCTAACTGTTGTATTACAATAAACACGAAAGAAACTAACTCTAGCTAGCGATCAAACCAGTTGACAAAATTTCTGATAATTTTTTTTTGGGTCAAGTTTCTGATACTGTCTAAATAACAATTTAACCGTGGACAAAGATAAACTTCGTCATCTGACAAAACCAATGGACACCAAGACCACATAGCAGTCAGACTTGGTACCATTTAATTGCTCAATTTTCAGTAGATTTCTTTACCTATTACAAATGATATCTAAGACTTAGGGTTGCAACCATCATTAGATGACAAAAAGCTGGTGTACAAAAGGAGATAACAATAAAAGAAAACATTTCTTTAAAATTTAAACTATATAACTCCCTAGATAATAGGAGAATTTAATCATTAATAATAAATAATGAAAGGCACAAAGCAATAGTTTATACGAAGAAACAATACTTAAAAGAAAACGGATTAGATGTAAAGGGATAGACTTTGCAACGGCGGACGTCGTGTGACGGCTTCTTGTGCCATTGTAGCCATGGAGCCATTTTAATAACTAATCACGAAGCCGACCATTAATTATTAATTAGCATATCAATTCTACTCTACCTAGATTATTAAAATGATCAAGATTTTATTAATCACTAATCGAATACAAGACTCCATTAATCACTAATCGAATACAGGAGTTGATTAATTGCATTGGCGTTCAGATTTAATTTATTTTAAATGTATATAACGTCTAATAATTTAATCTATGTGTTGCCATTGTGTTGTCTGTGAGTGCTTTTATGCTCTTTGCGATATAATATAATATACATGTTGTTTAGTCATATATATTAGCAATATATAATTGCTAAAAATCGTACCAAATGTTGTTTTTACTTGTTCTTTTCACTTTTGGATAGAAAATCATTCGATATTTGAGATATGCCCACAATTACGTACTTAATGACTCGTGTCATGTAAAACTGATCACAAACAATATCATAGATTGATACCTATACTTAGGAAGTTTCTTAGAAATGATAGTATGTAAAATAACATCACAGTCAAACTCGAATATGATAAGGCTGAAATAATTTAGTTAATCAATTTAACTAGTCACGTTTAAACCAGTTAAAAAAAAACTAGTCACATTTAAACTAATTTACGCACGACCGAAGTATTTAAATAATGTCCATACCCAACATGATGTTACCGTTAGTTATTCGTGTATATATATTGCAACAGCAAATGAGACCATTCCATAATTTTTAATAGCAGAATATGCATTAATTTCTATATAGATATATTGATCTGATCTGATGATAAGAGAAATTTAAAATAAGACCGTTAATGAACAGGTTAAATAGTTCAATAAATTACATATACGAACGCAAGCATCTTATTACAGTGACATTTTTCTCTGCGTATTATGTATAACAAACTAAAGACATTATGAATATAAAAATGGTAAGATTTGTTGAGAGTTAACTAGTGTTTCTAAATCCAACAAATCAGACTCGGACACTGAATGACAATTTCCTAAATCACGGTTATTGGACCGATCGAATCACCCACGGGTCAAGCAAATAACTAATTTTGTTTTACAGTAATATATACATTAGTTATTGAAAAATAGAAGAGATATTTTTTATTCTTAAAACATTTAGAAAAATACTTAGTTTGAGTTTCTTTATTTTGCATATAAATATTAAAAAGGTATTTTAGGCGGTAACAATATTTTTAACAAGTTAATAATTATAACAATAAATTAAAAAATATATCAAAATTTAAAATCTTAAGTATTTAAATGTCTAATGTGAATAGTATAATTAAATTTTAAATTCAAAATAAACTAAAAGTAAAACATCAAATTTGTAATAAATTATTGATAACAAAATAAACTAATATCAAATCACATAAACAATTTTATTAAAATCTTCATCAAAATCTAAAAATCACAAATAAAACAGTTTAATTAATATTTTATATGATAGAATAATCAGAAAAATCAATAAAAACATTAAAAGTTACATCTGCCATCAATATTGTTTTTTGGATTTGTACTTTATCATTTTTGAGATATTCTTCAACAACATCATTCTCTAGTTCACTATAATCAACTATCCAAAAATATGTTTTTTCAATAGTTTCATAATTCATATGATTATATGATTTTTTATTTTTTTAAATTAAAAATCTAACTTTTGTTAGAATACAAAAAAAAAAATCTAATAATATCTGAAAAACACTACAAAAAGAGTAAAAATTACACAGTAATTTAACCAATAGTTCAATCGATAGTCAAATTCCAAATTTAATGATTTTTATGGATTTGTACTTTATCATTTTTGAGATATTCTTCAACAACATCATTCTCTAGTTCACTATAATCAACTATCCAAAAATATGTTTTTTCAATAGTTTCATAATTCATATGATTATATGATTTTTTATTTTTTAAAATTAAAAATCTAACTTTTGTTAGAATACAAAAATAAAATCTAATAATATCTGAAAAACACTACAAAAAGAGTAAAAGTTACACAGTAATTTAACCAATAGTTCAATCGATAGTCAAATTCCAAATTTAATGATTTTTATGGATTTTATTGAATTTTAATTTGTATATTTTTAAAAGCTAAACTGATCGGGTGTCACAAGACTCACAACTCTGGTTTCAAGTTCGAACATACAACTATACGTTTACAACCAGATATCTTCCTTATTGTCGGTCCACGATGTAAACAATATTTGTAGATATATAGAGAAAAGTTCTACATAGAATCACTTGTTTGCTTAAATTATTTCAACCAATTGTAAAAGTATTTAGGTTTGTGTTAATAGGGTATACATTTTTGTACAGATAAGGCTATCGTGTTTTTTTTTTTTTTTTTTGCTGACTAATGATCTAGCGAGGCATTTAACTAATACCTGATCCGCATATCCGCATGCATGTTTATTATTCGTAATTATATATTTTAGCTTGAGTTAATTCTGCTAGAAATCCAAAAAGAATCATGAAATTAGCAAACTACTTAGACCATCTCTAATAGCACTTTATTTATTCCTCTATAATTTACACTAAAATAGAGTAACTCTATTATAGTGTAAATATTGCTCCAATAGTTTACTCTATAATAGAGTTACTCTATTATAGAGTAAAATATAGAGAAATGTCATTTTTCCACTCTATATTTGGAGTGAAATAATGGTATTACTCTATATTTTACTCTATAATAGAGTAACTCTATTATAGAGTAAACCATTGGAACAAAATTTACACTATAATAGAGTAACTCTATTATAGTGTAATTATAATGGAGATGGCCTTATGATAGGACAAATTTATTCTGTACCAACAAAGGTATCATGGTATATAATTTAGGATATCAACCTAATTTTGAGATAAGTGGTGTGTATAAGATGCAATTTTACGGCTATATTTCAATTCATCCTCTTTTCCCAAAGGTTGATATATTTAATTATTTATGTTTTTATATTATAGATTCATATGTTATTTAGGAGCGATGTTAATGCGTCTTGTTTAATATAATTAGTCTTTACTTATAAACTATGAAATTATATTTTTCTTTTATTGTACTTTTATTTGCCTTATTTAGTAAAGTAAACACTAAAATGTAAAACAATTCTATATAAAATTTAAAGAAAATCTTTGAGAATTTTTTTTAAAATATATTATTTAGAGAAAGAAAAATAATAATGAAACCAAATTCAAAAAAAACTTTAAAATGAGAAAAGATTTATAAATGAAATTAATAGTTAGATCATTTGGTTATGAACTTATAATTAAAATGGATCTCAATTTAATTATTTTGTTCAAATTTTATTTATCATAATATGTATGGGTTAGACTTTGGTTTTATTTTAATTGATCAAGACCTTATATGAATTAAGGCCAATAGTATAAACGTGTAATTTTTGAAAAAAAGATATCTTTTATTTGTATTCTAATTTTAATAGTTTAGATATATTTTGAAATATTTTTGCTAGTAAAATTTTAGAAGGAAAAGTATCTTCTCTATTAAAAGAGAAGTACCATTTATATCTACTACAAAAAGTCATGTTGGACTATCTCATTAATATGACATATTTAAGTATTTATATTAATCAATCAAATATATATAATTGGATGAATATTTTAATAATAATAGGATATTAGTAATAAATTTGTTGAGAAAATATCTAACAAGATCTTACTAAGAAGTTTA